GCATTAACCAAATCAGTGTTCTATAAACAGATTAAAACTTCACAAGTTTTGAACTCAGGTCTTGTAAATCTGAATACCTGGTCTAGCTGATAAGCCACAGCTCCACCAACCCCGGTAAATATTCCAAGGGAAGCAAGAGCCGCCTTCTTTCCCGCCGAAAGAACTAGAGGGCCGATGGGGGCCATTTTCAAACACTATTACAAGTCTGAAATTTCAATTAGTTACCAGGTAGATTTCACACAGTTTCTTTATACAAATCAAAGAATATTTGTCAGTCCAACATTTACCCGATGGAAAATTTATGACAATATGATTTTAAAGGATCGTCTACTATTTGGGTAATTTCGGGGTAAACTGAATAGCGTATTAGCTATTGATTAGTATTGGTCCTAATTTTCAAAGTCAACTGTGGCCGGAGAAAAAGACGATTATTCGTTCAGAATTCGAGGGCAAAGGGACTGTCCCTTCTGAACGGAAAATCGGCTTTTTCTCCGGCCACAGGCATCTTTAAAAAGTAAGACAAATACCAGTTAACAGCTAATGGGCTGTTTAGTTTACCATGAAATTACCCAAATCAGTGAACGATCCCTTAAACTAATTATCTGTAGCGGTGTGTTTAATTGGTTTCCAGTGAAAACTTAGGAAAATTATGTTTTGATCCAAATTAATCAAAATTCATATAAGGAGAACGAATTATTATCATTCTTTTCCCAACCCTGAATGCCAATAATAACATCAATAAATCAGAATCTTGACAATTACTGAATCTTTCATAAAAATCAACATAAAGGAAGTTGTTTATTGTCTAGTTATAACTAAAGAATTGGCTTGCTTGCGCCCCAAAACACGGATGAAATGATAAAAAATCTGTAATAATGGTTAACGACTAAATCCTTCGATGCTGTTTATGTCTGGTATCCTAGGTTAGGTAAGCTGTAAGTTTGAGTAGTTTGGATATTCCAAGCTCTATTCCAAGGATATTGTTTCAACCCTCCCTCCACTAGCATACCAACTTCCTGAAATAAACAAGACTGTTTAGGAAACTGTGCATCTTATCTTATCAATGTTAGAACTATACAAATAATGTTTATGATGGACGAAATAAAATAAAAAAATATATCGCATAACTGCATTTGATATGTTAGCATTCGCGTTACACACATTCAACACTATATTGTTTTTACCAGGGAATAAGAATAGGAAAGGAAAATGGCACTGGTGTGGAATGAGAAAGCACTGCTTTGCAAACGAGTTCGTTATCACACACGCACACTCTTTTGGTACAGACACACAAAATGACTACAGTCAAGGAAATTGCAGAATAATGTCGTCAATTATAATTAAGCTTGTAGAACGAGTAGTTTATTGTAAACTTTAATCAAATTATATTCGTTGCATGTAAATTTGGCTTTATACTGTGGACTTGAATATTTGAAAAATAAATAACATGTATATTAAACTTATCTTTAAGTGAACAATGAACAAATGTACTCTTCTAGACTGTGCAAATACAGAGAGATTCATATGTGCTGTATAACCCTACAGTACACGCCTTCGGTTCGTTATTACTTACACACTCTTCTGTTTGCAGACACACATACACGACGTGTCCACCCCTTTATTTTAACCATTATCAATTCTCAAATCTTAACAAAAATACATAGAATCGATCTCAAGTGCACGAAAAAAAGGATAGGGCAAGTTGATTAAAAAATTAGTCCTAACCGCGGGATTCAGACCTGTACAGTGCTTGGACCAGACAGAGAAAATAAACATCTAAAAAAGATCGTCTCACCTCATTCTTAATTAGCTATCCATTATATCCAGTGATCACCTAATCCCCGATCATTATTTGATAATCTGCAATTACGCAACATGATAATGTTAAAAATTTAACAAGAAAAAACGAACATACAACTTACTGTTAATATCACAGGCGATCATATAAATAAAATTTCAGAGAAACCGGACCATTAACTTCACACTTTCGTAAATTTGTCATGGGTTTTAGTCCTACGCTGTATCCCGCCCCCTCGTCTGCCTCCCCGCCTCCCTTCATCTTCCTCCACCACACCATTCAATTTATCCAAGCGAGCTTTCCTGACAAATAAAAAATTATCATTTAAAACATGGCGACTGGTCAAGTTCTGTTATAAGATTGTTGTTTAAAGCCTCAAAACTAAAATGGTTAGAAAAAGATAGTTTCTAGTTTTCACCTTTCCTTAAACTCTAGCATAGTACTCGCTGTAAAGTCAACTTTGTTCGTTCTTTCAATCTCCTCGTCTCTAGCTCGTCCGACATAACTAAGGCAGGTAGTTAGAATATAGGAAAGCAATGATGGGATCAGCTGATCTATGGATACGCGAGGAGGGGAGGGCAACTCCGACAAAAAAGAAATGATTTTTTTGTACTTAACTTTTCATAAATCTTTGAAAGAAGTGTAGGCCAACCCGGTACCAAATCCTCAAATTTTCCATTTTTAAATTATCTAATTTTAAAGAAAATAGAAGCCATCCCTCCCTCCATTCGTTCCTTACGAAATATTAAAAACTTACAAAATGTCGTCTTTTAAAGGAGACAAAATATTTGGGATACATAATGCGTTATGTAAGAATTATGCAAATAAACTTTATAAAAGTTACAACATAAAAACTAAATACAATTAAATTACAATAAAAATAAATCTTTAATTTGACTCAGTGCCATAAATTGAGACAGAAAAGGAAAATAAATTCTAAAAAGTAAATACTACAAGACTGAAAATAAAAAGTTGTTTAAAAGCCAAAATTCTGAACAAAAATTGCGTCTTGAATACGGATGTAAAAATAACACTTTTACATACCCTTTGAGAACTGCGTTGTATGGATTATCCTTGGCATCTGGGCACCCAGTCCGATATATAAACTCCTTTCTACAAAATAATTTAGATATAAGGAAAACATCAAAATAAGAATTTAGAGATGGGACTATACTATAAGTTTAATCAAGAAGTTTTAATTTTTAAGAATATTAAAATATGATCATTCAAAAATGCGCAAAGTAGAAGCTGTTTCTGTTTATTAAATGATCCTTAAATGATCCTGACACCAAAACTAAAACATTTTGAATGCCTAAAAAAGTAGACTAATTTATACGACATAAAAAATATTGAACTTTAATTATTAAAAATGATGACTGAAGATATGACAGAAAGGTCGATTTTTAACTATAGGGATCTCAAAATTTTCCTCAGCAAATAAAATCTAATTTAAGTTAAAATTACTAGCATGAACGAAATTATAAAAATGATGAGACTACGGCATATTTAACATGAAATCACCCATTTTAAAATCTACCTTGTTATTAGAGGTACCATGAGAATACTGTTCTGTTTTACACCGTTAATACCCAGCAGCGTGCAGGGAATACCCTAGATTTAAGATGACAATTTTCTAGGAATATATCAGATACAGGAGGGGGAAAGGGCATGAACAATGAACATATTACTTTTCGGGAAACTTATACAGTGTATGAACATATTTCAGAATTTTCGTATGACGGTGATTTTTGCATGCGAACTCAAAAATATGCATTGTACAATGTAAACTTTCAACAGTTTTTTTTTTAATGGACACTGATAAGCAAACCGCCTAGATATCAAAAATGGATCATTTTATTGATGATTTTACTGAAGTATTTATCATAATTATTAATCTGTTAGCATCCTTACAAGAGTTCTTGAAATCTATTTTTAAGAACAGGAATGAATTCCTCTAAGCATATTATCTTACAAATTATACAAAACATGTAAATCAAGATAAGTTGAACCCATATCTACCTTAAAGCCAAGCAGAGAGCCGTTTAGAGTATTTAAACTTATTTTAAAAAATATTTGCAAAAAAGACTTTAAGTTTTGAAAACAGATCTAAAGAACTGAAGAGGGTCAACCCAAACCGAAATGTATTTTTAAGTGTTGAATGAACACATACTTTTAAACTTTTAAAATATTCCTTTTTAAGACCAATTTTGACTTCTTCCCTTACTAACGCATATTGGGGGATTTTTCCAAAAAATTATGAAATTCTGATACCTAAACTTTTATCTTTCAACATAAGCACGTTAGATAATATTTTTCCATAAATAAGATAAATTTCACAACTATTTCTCCAGAAATTCGTCGCAAAAATAAATATATATTTTTTTTGATGACACCCATAGTAATCATTAGAAATAAATTGGTTTTAAAGATAACAAATTGGGAGATTTTATTTTGAGGAGTAACAGGAAATCAGGTTTCGAAACTCTTTGTAACTACCGGACAACGACAGATGTCATGAAATTGGATAATACAGGTTTTAGTTCAATAAAAACAGATAATGTGACCATAATACTGTCTAAATCTTACTTTGGGAAATAGTCTGAGAGTTTACCAGGTCTCATGAACATCTCCCCCGACTCGTTAGGTCCATCCAGCACCTATATCGAAAATTCAGATCTTAATTTATAAAACTGTGAAACTCACAATTCAGCTCTAGAATCACACTATTTAAGTGACACTTAATGAACGGATGGCAATCTAAATTTCACAATGGTACCCTAAAAACCTTTATTTGATCAATAATGTGGAAGATATCGTCGTTTCAATGAATTTAAAATGGTTAAATTCTGATAACTTTAATTATTTGTTTTCCAACAGTAAAAATGCGCCAGTAAGTAAAATATTTAATTTCACTTTTCAGAGGTATAAACATCGATATTGAATTCATACCTGATTAAACAATGCTAGATTTTAAAGGTACCGCATTATACATAGGGGTCACTTAATATTACGTTTACAGTTCTATTTATAAAGCAGAGGTTTTCAGACAAAGATATTTCATACGAGCTTTTATGAAGTATAAGTAATCCATCCGACACTCAAGCTCGTGCAGTATCAAATTAAATTTTAACTTTATCATAATAACGATAATCTGTTCAATTTCTTATTTAACTCAAGTGTTTAATCCACAAGTCGTTTATATTTAGAAACCGCAGTTCAAATAATCATTCACCATTGTTAGCAAACTAAAAAGGTTTTAAGGGTAGTGTTACTAATCTTATACGAGCTCTTTGAATTATTCGTCACTTTTAATCTCCGTCGACAGTTCCTAAGCAGAGATTTTTTCCAAAGAAAGGGTACAGTTGTAAATCAGACACAACTCTTTAGACGGGGCATCTTTTGAAACTAGGTCGGCAGTCAATCAATAAGTCTGGGGTGTATATTTTTGAATTTTTTACTCTCGCTAAATCGGGAAAAACAATTATTTTTATGGGAAAATAATTAATGTTTTTGGTAATAAGTAACAAAAAGGGTGATAAGCTTTCCTTTCGATGATTAATTTTTCATTTTTCCCTCCAGGGCCAATTCTCAAAAATATACACCCCTAGAAAAAGTTTGTAATATCCTACCTGGGACTCCTCAGCCTCGGCCTTAGCCTCGGCCTCGGTATGGGTCACACCAACCAGATTCCTGGAACAATTCAGTCAAATTACAAATTATTATTCAAATTACATATTTTCAAGAATGCCCCCCGCAATAATTTTCGATGCTCGGGAGGNCATTTTTTTTCTTCTTCTATTTTCTAACGAATCCCGAAAAAAGTACAATACAAAGCATAATTTAAAAAACTGATCTGATTTGTACCTGTATGCCAGGAAGCGCATGCTGTGGCAAGCAGCGCAGACCTGCTTGTACACCTGGTATCCACGCCTAGTAAACACACAATAGAGATAGCTGCTAGGGGACTAGACGTGTCCCTCGAACTACATTAAAAAAAAAACAGAAAAAAGGTTGAAAAAGAAGAGAATTTTAAATTCAAGTTGTGATTTTAATGTCCATTTATCGTAAAGCATAACCATCGTGCATTGTACACAGACCTATCTCGCATTTTAGTTTTATTTATATGAAAAAATTGTTAATTAGTCAATTTGAGAGATATTGTAAAAAAACTTCCTAAATTCTAAATGGTCCAGCAAGTTTAAGCATTAAAATGAGCGTAGATCAAATCATTTATTATCAGTAAATTCTAAAAAAAGGTTAATGACCTGGAGTGTCTGGAGTGGGACCAATGAATCTTGTATTATTAAATATTAACCTGACGCTAGCATGATCCAATGAATCAAAGTGTCCGGAGTGGGACCAATGAAGGTGTGGAGCATGCAGGGTCATATCAGCCTTAACCTCCTAGAGTAAACATGGTCAATGATTATTCCTTTATAAAAATATTTTTTTTTATGCCACGAAGAGTCATAGATGTATCTTTAATAAGGCTAAATAAAATTTTGTTTACTCTGAGAAAAACTAAAATAAATAACTTTAAATATTTATTTGTTTAATTTTTCTGAGAGTATAACGTGATGTTAGGTTCTTTCCCACAAGATTTTCCCACATGGCAACTTCACAAATGTGCAATTTCTCAAGTGGCAACTTCCCAAGTCTGTCCTAGCCGCAGCGCTCGGCCCTTAGCCTGATCTAGTCACGGCGCTCGGCCCCCTAGCCGCAGAACAAGGCCCTCATTGAAGCCTGCGTGGCGCCTCAGAGGTTCTAACCTTTGGGAAGTTGCCGCTTGGGAAATTGCAAATTTGGAGGGTTGCCACTTCGTAAATTGTCACTTGGGAAGTAGCCCTTGAGAAAGTGCCTTTGGGAAAGTACCTAACACCTACTAATACAAGCTTACAACCATCTCCTTACAATAATATAACTAAATATATGAATGGATTTTTAAATTGAATTTTTCAAAGAAAACTCTATCATCCAGAGTGAGACCCGAAAGACTGTGAACATAAAATACGGCAATTGTGCAGTGTACCAGACACCAGTGTACCAAACCATTTTACTAAATAAATTGATTTCCAAGCTATTGCTAAAAGTTTTGGTTCTGAAAGTGATAAGCCAAATCAAAATCAATATCAACATTAAAACTTTTATTATGCAAATTCCGGGGATTAAGGTATATCTATATAATTATATTAATCTGCCACAACTATTATCCCTGCAGTCCATTAAATCTGCCACAAATAGTATCCCAGTCCATTAAATCTGCCTCATATAGAATATGTAGTAAAAAATGTGCCCCTTTTCTTTTTAACCCCCCCCCCCCCACAGTAAATAAGAAACTTATTAAAAGCATTTTAACCGTAGAGATGGGGTAACAAGCTGATATTCAGGGAGAAAAAGAACCTCCTGAGGGTGAATAGTATCAATAAAGGGTTACCGGTTCATGTACAATTTTTCATGTTGTACCCCCAACACTTATTCCCTCCCCTGGTTTCTACCTGAGATTGAGTAGCAGGGGTTCCGTCCTCGAACTCAACAATCTCATTGTAGATTGGAGGCGCCATACCAATAGCACCTCCAGGGAAGTAAGGGTTAAAGTTCTGTCCCTCTCTGCAGGAAACAACTGTTATATAAAAACAGATCCCCCAGTTGTGTGAAATTATGACAAGTTAAATTAAAGTTTTATGGTTAAATCTGATCTAAAGACGACTTGTCAATAAAAATAATAATATTAAGTTTCTGAGAGAGAGAAAATTTTTTTTTTTTTAATATTTGTGTCTTTGATTAAAGAAATTATTCATGAGTTGAATCTGGATCCGGATCCATTACAGGACGAATCCAGGAATTGGATCAGCATTCAATTAAATGGATCTAATCGATTTTTTTTACCGATATGACCAAAAAAAGAAGATGGATCTAAGATATAACAATAAACAATCAACCTTCATTCCGTAGAAATCTAGACATAAATTAACTTCCTGCAGATATTTGACCCAATTCTGGTGTGTATCAACATTAGGGTGACCCATTTTGCAGTCTGATTTACCACAAAACCCAACAGTCTAATATTGTTCTGTTTGATTTCAGTTATCACAGGAATAATTTTCTCTCTTAAATTTATCATGTCAAATATCATTTTCTTCGTAATTGTCTAAAAAAATTAAATCCACTGAAATTTTCAAAAGCTTTTGAAAATTGACTGAGTTAGGCCAAAAAACGCAAAAAGGCTTGTTTTTCGGAAAAGTAATTTTTTCAGTTTTTTAACCGAACTCAGTTAATTTTGGAAATTTTTCAAAAATTTCAATGGATTTCAATCTTTTTAGACAATTACGAATAAAATAATATATGACATGATAAATCCAGGAAATAATGTTTTTTAGAGCAATGTAGACTTTTTTTGCGATCTGCACGGGCCTTGCAAGATAACTTTTTAATGACCTAGATAAAAAAAATCCTGTTAACTGACTTCATAGAGAACAATTTAGACTGGTAGGTATTTGTGGTGCAATATTTCTATATTTTTCTGCAAAATGGGTCACCCTAATCAACATTGGCAGATATTTATTCGCAATCAGAAGAATGTTTATTTAGAACAGCTGTTTCCTAAGTTCAATTCCCGCAGGAGGATCACAGTACCCATTCAACAAATGATAGATGTAATCCTCTCCTCCATGCCTGAATTATACATTTTAGAATCTTACCTTTCATCTTTAACTTGCACTCAAATATCAATTTGTCTCAAATTTCGTATGGATTTGAATGGTTAGAATTAAATTTTTTTTTAAAAATGGATATATTTCAGCATTTTGAATGAAAAATAAAAATTATATAAGGATTGAAGGCGACAAAAATTATCGATCTAGATTTAGATTGAATAAACGGATGAATAACAATTTGAAAAGATGAATGAATAAAAGGATTAATGAATGAATGAATACCTGGCAAGGGTGATGAATGATAGATCTGGAGGAATAGCGCCGTTGTTGGCAGCTGCGGCGGCAGCATCGTTGGCAAAAGGCCTGAACAGATTGGATATAAACTTGGTCCAGGTAGAAGTAGTTTTAATTAAATTTTAATAGCAAGGGTTCATCTAGAATAATTCTGGGTGAAGGTTGTACAGTGTAAAACCATAGGCAACATTTAAACGCATCATATCGACCAAAAATGGTGTTACGGTCCTTAAAATCCGCAACAAATAGTATCCCTGCAGTCCATTTAATCTGCTACAAATGGTATTATGGTCCTTAAAATCTGCCGCAAATAGTATCCCAGTCCATTAAATCTGCCACAATTAGTATCCCAGTCCATTAAATCTGCCACAATTAGTATCCCAGTCCATTAATTCCGCCGAAAATAGTATCCAAGTATATTAAATCTGCCACAAATAGTACCCCAGTCCATTAAATCTGTCGCAAATAGTATCCCAGTCCATTAAATCTGCCGAAAACAGTATCCCAGTCCATTAAGTCTGCCGCAAATAGTATCCCAGTCCATTTAATATGCCACAACTATTATCCCTGCAGTCCATTAAATCTGCCACAAATAGTATCAATGAAATATCCAGAGAAGTTCATAATTTCTTGATATCCAGATTAAATATTGCTTGTTCTCCACATGAATTTAAANGTTAGTGGAATTTGAAATTTTATTTTAATTGGGGGCATTTTTTATTTAAAATGGGGGCAAATAGGGGCAAATGTGTTAGTGGAATTTGAAAATATTTTTTTAATTGGGGGCATTTTTTTAATTTGGGGCATTTTTTTTAATTGTGGGCAAATGGGGGCAAATGTGTTAGTGGAATTTGAAAATGTTTTTTTTAATTGGGGGCATTTTTTTCAAATTGGGGGAAATGGGGTCAATTGTGTTAGTGGAATTTGAAAACGTTTTTTTAATTGTTTTTTTTTTACAATTGGGGGCATTTTTTTCAAAGTTGTGGGCAAAAAATTATTCTGGGATCGAGAAAATCAGCTATTTTGGGAATTATATGGACCCCTGGCACTTGGTCGTAAATTACGATTTTAGCTATTTTTACGGACAAAAGTCGACCTACTCAACTTAGAATCTCAAAACTAAGCCAGGAACAATCCCGTGGCTCTCCAGAGTTCCTGAATCAAAATATAAATAATAGTTCAAAAATTCACTTAAAATCGAAATAGGTCTATGTAGTGTTTACACTGCCTTTTATAAAGTATACCTCGAGTTTTCTTCCTATATTTCTCAAAGCATAAAAGTTGCTAAAAAAGAAAAAACGTCATATTTTCCCAATTTAAAGTCAAACTTTGCAACAAAAAGATTTTAATGAACCTTTATTTAGATTGTTTGTATTGTGGTTTTATCAATTTCCTTCGGATTCAATGGAGCATCAATGTCAGGACATATTCAAAATATTCTTTCAATATCTCCAAATAGATCAGGTATTATTATTCGTTGCATGCGCCATAATTTTCAGAAATCCTTCAAATATAAAAAAATAAAAAATACATATTTGAATGCATATTGTGAATTTGAGATTGAATATTTTTTTGTTCAGAATTCCTTGGAAATTTCTAGTTTTAAAATAAAATATGAATTCTAGATTTTCAATTTAATTTCTCCAGGAACGTTGTATGGACTTACCAACGGATTTGGAAATATATCTGGATTTTTAGGTAAGATTCGAATAATCAAATTAACAAGTATTTTATTTATTTTTTACATAATTAAACGACTAAAAATATTTCAAAACTGTAACTAAAATATATAAAATACAGGGTGTTCCAAAAAACATGGGGATCAAATGACGACTTCTTACTTCTATATCGTCTATATCGTCTCCACCCTGCTCTCTTTCGTTTTTTTTTTGCATAAAGTTCAACGTATTCCACCGAAAACTACTAGTCTCGAGATTAACAAAATACAATCTACCATTTTTTCACCTTCCAAATTGACGTGGATATTGAGAAATTTTAGATTCCAGTTTATTAGAAATCAGCAGAACTGTTTAAAATCTCCGTCAATTTTAAAGACGGTTAATCACAGTTTGGAAAGTTCATAAGACCAACAATCTTTCTTTGATAAACGCTTTGTAATGGATCAAATATCGGAAATCAAAGACGACGTTTATGTCGTTCGTCTTTTAATTTCCATGTTTATTGGGACACCCTGTATAAGTTTGCACATTATTACAGGAAAATTCTCTCAAATCTGTTTTATAATTTTTATATATTTTTCAGTTCCTATGGTAAAAGATTGGGTTGTGCAAGACTTGAAAAGGAAAAACCAAAATTTATCTATATATATATATACATATATGCTGAATTGATCAGGCCCCAGGGAAGGTTTCGGGATGCTCAGAATTACAAAAAGTTGTATCAAAAAGCTTTTGATTTTTGTGAAATTTTAAAAGTGCACAAAATATTATTTGAAAATTTGCAAACCTTTTTGGTTATTGTTTTTACTGACCAATAAACAAATTCTTGCAGATATTATAAAGGTTAAAATAGAGGATAGACACGAAGTGTCCTAAAAGCCTTGTAGTTATATAATTCCAAAAAATGAATAATAAAAGAAGATTGGACTGGGTGAAATATAAATATTATAACATAGTTAATAGGAAAATAATCCGAAATAAAAACCTGCAGGTCTGCAGTTCTTGGTGTTTTACTGTGCAAAAAAACACAGAAAAAATTCAGTGATTTCCAGTAACAGCGTTTCTATCAACCATGTTCCAATCAATAATATCTGCAAGGAATAGTAATTCAAAATCAGCATTTATTAGAAAGGAACATTTTCTGACACCAAATCTTGAGTTTATCAAGAAAGATCATGATAAATATTTTACCAGTAGACATAGGCTTGCACTTTTCAATCTGTTCTTTATCGTAACAAACAAACTCATTGTTCTAACGTTCGTTTTTGAACAGTAACTGAACATTAATTCAGTTGAAGAGTTGAAGTTGACGTAGGAACTTTGTTTTAGTATCTTAAATCTTAACGCGGTGGATCTCGATATTCAATGTGGACACGTCCCTGCAGGATATGGCCACAATACCAGATATTGAGAAATTAAAATAATTCGCATAGCATAAGACGCAGAATTTAAATAATTCGAGCCACGGCTCAAATATGAGACGCGATTCAAACATGATTGGTTCTTCTTGAAATTGGATTGAGAGATTTTAGCCGGCGCTCAATTGGAACCGGTTTTTGGCGGATTAGCGACGCGGTTTTTATACTTTTAATCAGGCCTCTGAACGTTTTTAAACCGTCTTGAATAGATCAAAATTTGTTCAACTCCCAGTGTCTCTGATTGGAGATATTTATTCATCATTGCTGCAAGTCTGTATCTGTTTGAAACAATCTATTTCAATATTTTCGCTAGCAGGTAAATATATTGCTGATCAGGCGCGCAACTAGAGGGGGGGGGCAATGGGGGAAAGGCCCCCTAGCCTTATTAAGGGCCCCCTTGCAAATTGTCTAGTTGTGCGCCTGAATTGCTGATCTCTAAAGGTACAGTACAGGGTGTCCCAATAAACACGGGAATTCAGTGACGAATTCGATATCGTCTTTTAAAATAATTCTTTGATTTAGTATAGTGATACCTTCTCAGAAAGGTGTAATCTGTAAGAGTTTCGTCTGCTATGTTCACAATTTGTTTGTTTATGTTTTGACTGTATACAGTTGTACAAAGTAAAACAAGAAAATTGCAGTATACAAACAGAGTAAACTTGTCCGTCTTCACTGTTAATCTTGCGGAAACATTATAGACACATCTTTACAGTCTTTTACCCTTTTCATAAAATAAACTATAGAAAACATAATGATATTATGGCTTTTGAAATTAGGTATTACAATACTAGTTCATTATAAAGACGATATCGAATTCGTCACTGAAGTCCCATGTTTTTTGGGACACCCTGTGTTATGTAGACATGATTTCAAGTGACCACTAACTAAGAGAGTTACATATTAATCTAGAGATTAAGTAAAAGCTTTCTAAAGTTTTCAGCTCAGGACTAACTGTTTTGATATTAATAATTTTCAATTGCAGTTTTATCTTGTACAGCGATAAAAAACTGATGCCTTATGTATCTCTTTTCAAAATAGAAAAACCGCATGATATCTTTCCCGACCGTGCTATTAGATTTTTTTGCTTTCCAGCTTTTTCCAATTGAATTTTTTTGATAAACTTCAAATCCAAATTTTACATTTAATTCATACTAGCCACATACAAATACAAAACAATGCTAAAGATTATATTATGGTAACTCGAGAAATTGGATCAGAAAGGACTTACAAGGAATTAAAATTCTTTGAATGAAGGTTAATTTAAGATTTATTTTTTATCTTTAATTAATCATTTGATTTGTATATTTTAGACGAGTGCAAGAGTTTAATGAAAAAGATTACAAGGTGAACCAAGGACAATAATAAACATTCTCAATTCCAGCATATCATTTAATACAATTATACATTCTTAAAGAAAATCTAAGAGGAGAGGGGGGGGGGGGGCAAAATGATTTACAAAGATTTACTTTTATCTGGGAGAGTTGAAACTTTTACTTAAAACTGAAACTTCACTTTTTTAAAATCTTAATGTTTTCTTTAAATTATTAATATTATTGTCACAAAATAATAGGAGATATCGACAATTGAGTACGTGAAAACATCCTGCTGTACGTTCTACTGCGACGCTAAAACTACAGAACATAATTAAAAAATCGATTCTACAAATTTAAGTATTCTTTTCAAGTCCCAACTCATTCGTGGCTTACATAAAAAGTGTAATATACAAAGTTTAACTAAAGTTTTTTATATCTGAAATAGAGATAAAATATAAGTCTTACATACTGTAATAGTTCTAATTTGTTACGAACGTTAATCTTCTTGTTTAACAAGTTAATAAAACGTTCAATATTATAAAACTGTACTATGTGAAACTTTGCAATAATTTTATCCCAAGAGAAAAAGGATAAACGAACCAAAAAAACATCATTTTAATATATTCTATTTTAATATATTCTATTTTAATATATTCTATTTTAATATATTCTATTTTAATATATTCTATTTTAGCGTATTTTTTCTCTTAGGGTCAACTTCACTTGACATTGAGAATAAACAATTTCCAAATTTGTGAAACATCCAGGGGCGTAGTTAGGAATGTGTCCAGGGGGGCTTAACTTTTTTCATTCCAGAGGGGGGGGGGCCTTAAACCCTCCTAAAATCCATGGATTTCCCTGGTCCAGTGAGGCTGAGCCCCCCCCCCCTGACTACGCCTCTGGAAACACCTCAGATTTTTGGAATCTTTTTAAGTTCAAAAAACCTCAAAAACGAATCAACTTATAGCACATCACTGTAGTTACCCCAGTGGATTATATCAATACAATGAAAACGATACTGTTTTATTTTAAGTTTAGTTGCTAACAAGCTTTTTCTAGAATTTCAAGTTTAAAAGTAAATAAAAAGAAGTTTTTAAATTAAGAAATTCTTTTTCTCTCCACGGTTGTGTGTATCCATTCTGTGAAAGCTGTTCAAAAGCTTGATATATAATCGTCTTTTACCGTTGTATAACTGTTTGTTTTGTAACATCATACATCACTGTAATGATTGTCATTACACAATTTGCAGGTTACTTGAAGTTGATGGCAGTAATTAATATATTTTCTGGACGAGGGAAGAAAGGCAAACCACACCTTTTTATCGTCCGACCACAAAATTAACCATTGTTTCGTCCTAACCTAACCACACTTTTTTATAAATAGATAGATAGATATATATTTGACTAAATATTTATTAAAAACAATTTCAATTGCATAATTTTTACATTTTGATTTAGCCAGGGCCTCTCTAACCATTGTTGGTTGTTTTGAATGAGAGGCCCTGCTGCAGCGATACACACAATAAAACCAAATAAAACAAAAACAATTTAGAACTTTAGGAAAAGGAGGAAAAGGAAGGAAAGGTATTGAAGAATAGAGAGGAAAAGAAGAAGAAAGGATCGTATGGGGGGACAACCCAGCACACAATGTTTATAATGTTTATTTTGTTTGTTATAATAACAGGGGAAAGGGTATAGAATCAAGATTTAGCAATTTCGATTTATACAACGAAAATTACTATATTCTTCAAGAAAACTTTTCAAGAATTGTTTTAAAACTAGCTAGGGTGCCTAAAGATTTTATTTCCAATGGAATAGAGTTCCTTGGAAGAAAAACCATAGGAAAACTTTCTAGATATTTATTGTTAACTAACTTTTTGTTCTATTTGGTTCTGCTAACGTTATAAAGTTTGTCAATCATATATTTAAACATAAAAACAGCAGAATTAAATTTGATCATGTCTTTTATTTTTAGAATTTCAAGTTTCAGAAAAAGTGGATCTGCGTGTGCAGCATATAACCTTTATCTGCTAGAACTCGTAGAGCTTTTTTTCTGAGAGTAGATAATTTACCTAATTTACTATTTACTGACGGACCCCAAGATAAAATACCATACTCTAGTTGACTTTTAATAAGACTATCATATATTAATTTTCTAATTCTCAAAGGAAGGATATGTTTTACATTTCTTAGTGCAAATATCGCACTTGAAATTTTAGAACATATGTGGTCTAATTGAAAATCCCATTTTGGAAACTCATCAAATCTAACTCCTACAAATTTAAATATTTTTCTTTACAACCAGTCAATATTATTCAAATTATATTTAAAGAGTGCGATTGTATTCTTATTTATTTTACGTTTATATTTAGCTTGAAATGAAGATTTAACAGTTTAACATTTTTAATACAAAAAACAGGATAATAATGATCAGATAAGGATGAATAAACTAACCCGCTCTCAATAAATTTGTCCTTAGTATTTGATGAAATATGATCTAATAAAGAGAATGAGTGACCAGTAACTCTAGAAGGAAGTGCGATAAGAGGAACGTTGACCAAAATTAAGCATTCTTTTCTTGTAGTATACTTCACATTATTTTCTTTGAGTTTTCAGCCACGTCATGTACATAATGCAAATTGTTTAAAATGTTTTGTCCGTTTTCTTAATCAAGATCATCTTATGAAAGTAAAATAGGAATACAACTATTCATGGAAATTTTTATTTCATAAAACATCGCGCTACTTAAAACCATTTAGTAGATTCGTATAGTCACTGCGACGATTACCTAAAAGTTTCAGTTAGATAAAACATAAAAATAACAGACAGTGTTTGGGTCCGGACGAAAAATAGGCATTTTCCGTTGTGTGCTAAATAATGTTTTTAAACAAGATAAATTTAAAACAAAGTCATATCGTAATGATTAACATGACGTTGTCTTAATTTGATATAAATGTTTGAAGACATAAAAAAATACAACTGGAAACACAGAAGCAACGCAAGGCCGAAAAAATGACTGATCAGAAGATAGTAATGAATTGTGACGTCATTTGTGGTGCGGACGAAAAAATGGTGTGACGTGCCTTACACCGCTCGCTGAGCTTGCTTTTTTCAAACCAATTGTGAACGGTCAGCTATAATCGTTCATAACATTTTTTTTTCAGTTCCTGAAAGTTTATTTTCATTTTAACAGAAAAATTAACGAGTTCTTTGGAAGCACATCCGTTGTCCTTTTTTCTTGATAGTTAACAATTTCAAAATAAACGGATTTTGCCTTTCGTTGATTTTCAGAACTTGCCGTTCGTTAACTATCGTTGCCCAGACCTAGTCTCATGTCTCATATCCAGGGCCATCTGTTAAATTAAAAAAATGTCTACTACACTGATTGTTGTTATTTCTGTACCACCTAAAACTGGTATTAAACTTTCCTTGTCCATCATGATGGTCTTCATATACAGGGATACCCACACAGGATGAGACTTCAGAGACGACTGTACAAAGTTAACTCTGTTTCTTAATATTTAGGAATCCCGAGCTGAAAACTTTAGAATGAAATATCCAGAGAAGTTCATAATTTCTTGATATCCAGATTAAATATTGCTTGTTCTCCACATGAATTTAAACTCCAGATTAATTATTCGACGGGATATCTGGATATTTCATTCTAAAGTTTTCAGCTCCGGCCTCTCTTAATGGTTTGTGCTTCCTTTGTCCATTCATTAAAAAGGCTAGAAAAAGACCATATTCATAACCCTGTATACATGCATGTGTCGCATAAAATTGCTCCAGTAGTGGATTGGCCGTTAATAATAAAGTTTAATAAAAATGGATTTATTACCGTTAAATAGTTGTCACTAAAAACATTTAGTCAGTTTATTTTAGTGTAATGATCAATCACAATAGTAAAGTATTTATTTACTATGATCGATTAATTGATTTCTAAACCAGGTGTTGATGGTAAGCCTCAGGTTGCTGGAATCCTAAACAAAATATTTTAAGAAACAAAATATTAGTATTTGACAAATATTGTGTTCGAAACTCAAATATTAAATATATTATTTGGAAAACAATTTTAAGAATGATTTATTAGTGCGTGCTTAAACTTATATTTTTAAATGCTAGCTGAAGAGCCCAACGTTGCCCATGGTAATAAAACAAAGAGAATTACATCGTCAGACACGATGGAGTTGATCCAATCTTCAGTGAGGTATGTTCTTGACTGTAAAATATTCGAGTATTTTTCTGTTTGCGTATTTTCAGGAAAGATTTGGCAGATTTGTGTTATTTAAATTTTTTAAAACTACCAACTTATCAGAAGCTCTTATCTCGGTGTCGGTATTTATTGAGAATGAGAATTTCTGTTCTTTTGTTCAAAGAGTTTTCTTCATTTTCATTTATATGTTAGTGCTAATTGTCTGATACTCCAGGTAATTTTGGAAGGATTTTTCTTCAGATTCCGATTCCAAATATATGTGCTATATAATAGCATTTTCTTTATGGTTAAAGGAGGATTTCTGGTAGTTAAATCTTGACTTAAAGTTAGTTGAAGCTAAACCAAGAAAATAATTCTCCACAATTCCTATTGTTTTATAAATTACCCTATAGACCAAAGTTTATGCTGAACATTTCCATCAAATTGGTAAACAGCTCTACCCTCTCTACAGTTATAAGCTTACTGTTTCACTGGTTGTTCAAAATCTTCTTGTTGTGTCCACTGATGTTCTTAGCCATATTGGACATATTATGAGCAACATTAGTAGCAACTAAAGCATTATAAAGAGGATTGAACCAAATTATTTTCCTTCTTCTGGGAACAGATGGATTAATAGGTTCAGCTTTCTATTGAAGTTGTTGATAGTGTCCAGAATGTTTGAGTGCTGCAAATAAGAAATTCACCATCGAAGATCTATCCACTGCTTGACTCCTGTTCCAAAAATGTGCTTGCCAGCCGGATCGCTTCACGTGCGAGAGCGTCGGGAAATCCGCCGGTCAGGGGGTGCAATTTACATTACGAATTTGGCACAAAACATCTACGGTAGAGGGGGGGGGGTCGAATTCTAAAAAAAGTGAAAACCGATCACCCTTAATTAGTAAGCAGCGTGAGAGATATACTTGGGTACAAGATGACAATGTCAAATTTGATAAAAACACAAGTTCTTTATTTCTATGCCTTTAACCCATTCAATAACTGACAGGTGTACTTTACCATTGGTTAGACTTGGAATTTTTTAGGATCTGGATAATGTTTTTTTCAAGAATCTGTTTGCTAAGAACTCCTATGTTGGATTTGGGTGGGTTAATCAGTCTGCATTCAACCCTCTCTGGAAACCCACCTTTGGGGTCTTTGATGATTATAAAGGCTTTATTGTAAATTAAAGCTTATATTCCATCCTCTAGTTCAAGATAGTTGCAGCATTTTTTGTGAGCTTCTGTTATTTTTTCTTCTTCTCAGCTCTTCTTGATAATCTGCAGGTTTCATCTGGTACAGATTGTTGTCTTTATTAGAAATTACTTTCACATCTTGTGTTTGTTTGATCTTAATACAATCTTTCCTTAATTTCTCTTTATATATTATTCAATATATACCACGTTTTAATCTTACCAACGTTATTAACTTCAATCGATATTTCTATACTAAAAGATGTTAATAAAACTAACTGATGTTTTATAATATAATGGTCCGCTTAGTTGATTTAACTAACAAAATAGAAAGTAATTTGTATAACAAACCTAGAATATCCTTTAACTAGAAATAGTCTTAGGAGTGAAGACGATCTTCCTGGACTTGACAACAGACCACTTGTGCCTCTTGAGATAGTAGGATCCACCGATCAACAAGGAGAACATCATCATGGCCTAGAACAGGATTAAGTGTTCAATGACCAAATTCTTTGATTAATTCCATCCCATTTTTTCATGCAAGACACTGTCCCCCAAAAATAAGAACGTGTTCACCAAGTATAAGTTTTTTTTAAAGGAAAATGTCGGCAAAAATTAAGAACAAAAATCTGTATATTTATCTTTTTTGGTCAAGGAAAACTTAACTGAATGAAAATAAAATAAAACCCGAGGGTTAAAATACAAAAACTAGAAGTTGGTAGTTTTTAATATAACTTTAAGAACAAAATGAAGAACAAATAAAATATATTATGTAATTTTTGACTGGTTTCTTGAAAAAAATCATATTACTGCTTTTGAATTGGTTTGAGAATTCAATCCTTAAAAAGCTTCATTCGTATTTTCATATGCAATTAGCCTCATATATTGGGGTGTTTATCACTTAAATTTCATATTAAGTAATTGTTGACAGTAATATTCATATTTCCAACCAATAATTGAACTTGAAAAATAAAGTCAATCAGTACATCAAATTAGCACTAAATCAGAATGAAAAGTCCCCCTGAAAAATTTATATCAGTAAGTACAATAAAAGTAAGTTTAACGGGAATATTATGCCTTGGGATGATAAATATATCTTGAAATTATGACGACACTGGTCTCTAGTCAGGGAGCGTTTCGAAGATATAGTAAGAATAAAAAACAATCACCTTGATGGCCATCTTCTTCCTCATATCGTGTTCAGGGCTAGCAGCCCAAGTCAAGAAAGTGCAGACATCCTTCGCAACCTGGGGTAGTGTTTTTTTGAGAGAGAAACATTAAAAATGTAGATAAGCTTCAGCGTATTCNTAAAAAGAATTCCTCAAAGACAAAGGAAAGAATATTTACCGTCATATCCCTGCCATGTTGGGGATCTATAAACCCCCTCGAGTGTTTTCTTCTCACTTCTGTTACATCTTGAAGAGACTAAATTTGAAAAAATACTATTACTAAACATTATTGTTTTGTGTTAAATAGTGCTTCTAGTAGGTACAATACCCACGAATGGGATGTCGTGGATGAAAATTTCTCTAAAATGCCGCTTTAACCTTCAAAATTGGGCACAATATTTGAAAATGTACTTGGTCGCATTATCGAAGATATCAATTGCGTTTTCACACACTAAATGTCTTTTTATTCTACTCCAATGTGTGACTTGCATGTAACTTGCTACGTCGTTGAAACATTTTACTCTAAAATTCCGTTTTAGCCTTAAAATGTACTCGAAATGTTGTCGGTCCCTTTACCAAAGTTTAAAAATAAATTGTTTTAAAAAACGTAAAAATAAAATTATAATTATAATTTCTTTTAAAATCTTTGAAAGGGAGACCGAGCACATTTTCGAATAAAGGGTCCGGTTTTGAAGGTTAAAACGACATTTTGGAGAAAAATTTTCATCAATGACACCCCCACAAAAAAAGTGCCTATTGTACCAACAATAGGCACTTTTTTATACATTTGTACGATATTTAGTAGACTGAAAAACGTCAACACTTTTATTCATAGACACTCTGCATATATTTGTGCATACACAAGGCTTTTAGGGCGCTTCGCGCCTATCTTCTATTTCAATTGTGAACATTTTCTCTTTGTATACATTGTAAAACCAAAATAAAAAATTTCGCGGAGTGTATAAAAAAATTTGGTGGATTTTCAAAATTTTAAAAAATAAAATTTTGTTAGAGGTAAATTTTTGAAAATTCGTTCATCCAAAAACCATCCCTGGGAACACGTGAGGTCCACAAAAAATGTGGGCCCAATTGGTTCAACCGTATTGGATATAAACAAACAAACATCCACCCAGACAGACAAGCAAAGTTTATATATAAATACATACATACAATGAGACCCAAAGGTGATTCTGCTCCGTGTAAAAACAGTACTGTGACAAATAACTTGGTACACTAGGGTTTTCTATGATCATTCAAACACCCTATATTTAGATTGGTATAAACCGTTACCCCACATTCACAACCCGAATAAAGTTTATTTACATTCAATATAACAAAGTTGAATAAATGGTAAGCACCTGTTCTCTGGCGTCCTCCAAGTTCTCAATTATCCTATTAGGATAGTTCTCCCCTTAACACAAAACATGTTTTAATATTCTCATAGGACCATAATAATCATGTAAAATAATAATACAATTACAATTACAATCACAATCACAATCACAATCACAATCACAATCACAATCACAATCACAATCACAATCACAATCACAATCACAATCACAATTAAAATTACAATCACAATCACAATCACAATCATCATTGTCATCCACATCATAATCGTTAGCAACATCAGCAATATATTTTTAACAATAAAACATAAAAATTAACTACACAAGTTAAAATGTTAACATTAACTTTAAAACATAAAAACTAGCATTGGTTCAAATTTAATTAGCAATCAAAATGATTAAAAAAAAACATTAATGTGGTATTGCTCTAATCTTTGGTTAGATTGAACCCTAACCGTTTATTTCATAAGTATTCAATATTCATCCTTTTCAAAGTTAATACTTTAACCCTTTTAACCATAAACACAGAGATTTTAGACCTTTTACTCGTTTACTTTATAAGTATTCAATATTCATCCTCTTCAAATTTTATACTTTAAATCCACTCTATTAAGCATAAAAACAGAGATTTTAGCCCTTTTAATTTTTTATAGATTTTCTATTTAAATCAAAAATAATTAACAAAATAAGTAAATTTCAATAGTGTGGAAATTTTCTTGCTATTTTGGAAAAGTCAATTAATTTTAAACGGTCTTAAAGGAGCCTTGAAACCTGCTCACGAAATATTTACCTAATCTAACACCTGCTCGCGAAAGAACTCCTTTCGGACATTTCCAAGGCTGGTGAATTAATCTAAAACATATTTACATGATTTTACAATAGTTAGGGAGCTCCAAATAATAATTAAAATTAGCGCCCATATTTTATCATATGATCTGTATAAGAAAAAAGGATTTAAAAATTGTTTGTACATCCACAAATGAAAAAAACGAAATAATCCGCGAAATCTTACTTTGTCAATTTCTTGAATCCATAGAAATGGTCGCAGTTAAAGGGACCCTCCATTGTAATGCAAGATTCACAAAGGTATCCTTGAAACCTTTATCTGATCAATAATGTGGAAAATATTATCGGTTTTTAAGTTAAAGAGTGTTTAATTCAGATAATTTTAATATGTTTTCCTTCAGTAGAAATACGCAGGTCACTTCTGTAGAGAAACCATAGATGAAACTAATCGGTTTACAAAATTACAAATCAAACTTGATCAGATAAAGCTTTTAAGGATACCTTTGTGAATCAGGCATTACCATCTTTCAATGAAGTACCACTTGAAATTATAAGCTAACACTAGCAGCTCCCTTACATTCATTTCAAACTAAGAGAGACACGAAGCACCCTGGAAGCACGGTGATTTAGATTTACAACTTACTTATCAGGAAGACCGGCTAGCTCGGGAATCCATGTTCTTACAAACTCTCCTTCATGGTAAATATTCATAAATGTATTGTTTAACAGAATCCTTGGTTTGTTTTAATACAAGATTTTACTTTCAGGGTGTTCTCTCCCAAAAAAGTGATTTGGATAATAGTAGCTTTAAGTCTCAAAAATGTGGGTTCCTATAATGATAACCAGAAAACTCTAAAAACGGAAGTCGACTTTTAGACTTAAGTTATGACTTTAAATAGTTCAATGAACATGAGGCGCAGCAATAGTGCAGTGTTAACGGACCCATTTCTTTAAATAAGTGCTTTAATAACTTAAGTTAGTAAAGCTGTTTGCTTTGCAAACATCATCAAATGCAAACCAGTTCTGCTTTAATGTCATCTTCCTATTCTACATTTTTCTGGTAATCACTGTATAATGTATATATAAACATTAATTCTGCACCTTCATCTAGCATTTTTGGATCCAAAGATAAGTTTCTGTTATAATGAGAAGAATCTTTGGTTTGCTTGAATACATTGTTATCAATTAGTCTGTAGTTAAAATAACAAAGAGGCGGGCCCCAACCATAAAAAATTATCATGGTATTTTTAACCGTTAATTCTGGAGTCTGGACATTTATCTAACAATTTTTTTATTCGACATTCATTTTTAAAAATTCCAATTAAATTAAGCTTAGAATATGTTCCTTGGGGATCACAAGTGAAGGCTGCATCAACCGGGTGCATCACAAAATTCCATTGATCCAATCCTGGGAAAATCATTTTAGAAAAAGTTCTTATTACTTAATCAAATCTTTACAATTAAAAATGTTGTCATTGATAAGAATCCATTTACTTTTATAAGTAAAATTATTAACCTGACATGCCCCCGTTCTGCCACATCATAGCGTTAATAGCAACATCCGCATCCAGTAGTGTGTCCTATACAATGCATCATTTTGGTAAAAAAGGTGAAAAACTAAAAAGCTTTTTTCTTTATTAGCTTGGCTCAAATTCAATAAACGACAATTTTGAACCAAAAAAAAACCCTTATATTAAGACAAAACCAAAGTTTTTAGAAAATCAAAAATAAAACATTTAAGTGCCAGATTGTTTATCTACTAAAAGTCATTTATTTCTCCCAATTCAACAAAAAAACCAACATTTTTTTAGGCGCTTAGCGCAAACATACCTTAGTTCTGGGGGAAGAGATGATTTTCGAAGGGGGGATAATATAACAAGAAAATATACACCCATGCAAACTATATTGTTAAGTAATAAGTTACCTGGAACCAATTGTATCCTTCTATCCATGATATTCTCAAATATGAGATTAGGAATGATGCTACAACATGACGCATATAATTGTTCATCCATCCTATCTTCCATAACTGACGCATTGACGCATCAACAAGTGGGAAACCAGTATTTCCTCGTTGCCAGGCCTTTAGATGTGCCTTGTTTTGGCTCCAAGGTTGGTTAGCGTAAGGCAGTCGAATTGGCTTTCTAAAGAGAATAAGAAGAAATTATTAATTTTAAAAAATATTCTAGAAAACAGTTATTTCATGGACAGGGTGTCCCATGAAACTTATTAATTGAAAGACGTTTTGATCATCGTCTTTGATAACCTTTGAGGCTGTCAGCCTTTTTTGCTTTGAAAATTATCGGTGATATGAAGACTCAAGATTTCGTTTGATTTTGTGAGTTTAAATCTCAGATTTCTAGTTTTTTTTCAGCACAAATGGCAGACCACGTTAAAAAACTTTCAGAGTTAGGGCAATTTTGTGATTGTTTTGTTTTGTTCGGTGGAATAATTTGCAATAAAATTTATTTCCCTATTTCCCTGCTCTACTTGATTCATTCTCATAATGTCCAACATTCACATCAAGAAACTCTCTGTAATATTTAAAAAGATTTTATATTTATATATTATTTACAGGACTACTCACAAAGAATGAGACTTAAATAACTACATAAGACTTTTAGATATGACAATTTGATGGTTGAATTTGGGTTTCTACCTTGAGTAATGGTTAGAAGTGGCATTTTGAAAGGTTTGGCATACTAAGAAACAAGCTTGCAATTGATGGAAAAAAAGACTGAATACACCGCACAGTATTCTCTTGTCTTTATCTTCCTACCTGTGATTTTGATATCCTCAGTCCTCTCCAAACTTCCAAGCTTCCTACCTGAGATTCTGATATCCTCCATCCTCTCCAAACTTCCAAGCTTCCTACCTGAGATTCTGATATCCTCCGTACTCTCTAAACTTCCAAGCTTCCTACCTGAGATTCTGATATCCTCCGTCCTCTCCAAACTTCCAAGATGCTCGGATTTCTTTAGCCCAGTCTACCACTGACCCATCTGCTTTTACTGGTTTCCGATACAATCTTAAAATATTCAAACCTATTTTGATTGAAGAAAATGACAAAAAAAACTGGTCTTGAAGTATTCTCTGAAGAAATTCAACTGAGAACTGAGACTGATAAATAAAACTTTAAGACTGAAAATTACTTTTCGCTTTTAAGTGGCATCTTGGTAAACTAGTAATATTCAACTTATTGTAAACTTTAAAATCCTTGTAATAATCAACATCTTGTAAACGTTTGTTTTTTATCAATTAGGTGGGGATAATACCCAAAACAGTGTAAGCTAATCTCCACCTAATTGCTAAAGTACATATATAACAATAAATAGTTTGACATTTTTGCCTGTAACATTATAATTGTTATATATATATTGTTAACAATAAATCTTATCTTATCTTATCTTATCTTATCTTATCTTATCTTATCTTATCTTATCTTATCTTATCTTATCTTATCTTATCTTATCAGTCCACTCTTAAATATGTTGCTGAACTGTCAAATTATCTAACCTGAGCTGAGGTAGAGAATGTGAGGTTGGCCACGTGGTTGGATTATTCAAGTATCTAGGTGGATCTATAGGTTTCCCTATAGAATCTCCAGGGTTGGACTTACAACACTCCATGAAATGTGTGACAGATCCAATACCTCGAGCACCGACTCCAGCAACTGTAACCTGATCAGGTCTATGTAAAAGGTAACTGTGCTCAATATCCACATGAACTCCTGCCCCTGCTAGTCTCTTCTCCAATCTAAATTATATTTGTCATAATCTAACATAAATTACCGGTGTTGCCCGTGGCTTTCCATCTTAAATTTGTTTTGGTTGTCCACTGCGCCAACCCGTGGTCAAGTGTGATTGTTGTCCCTCATAGTCTTATTTTTTTCAATTAAAAAGTTGGTAAACACTAACCACCGGTTTGGCCGGCTGTAAGTTACACACATAAACACACACTTCATTACTCCATGCACAGTACTATATCTGATAGCTACACATATAGAGTATTAGTCTTATTTTTGCCTGTCCAATCATAACTCATAAACCCCCTTGAATTTTTCCCCTCTAATTTTGGTTATAGAACTCGGTAGAACCACAGGAATGTTCTTAACTTGGTTTAAAAGTTCGAAGTTGAGTGGGTTCTTTAGAACTTGAATAAAATCACATTCCTGGCAAAGCGCCGATCCCAAGCTAGTTTCTACCTCTCAGTTTGAATGTCAAATCATAACTTAAGAACTTCTTTACTGATTTGAATCAAGATGAGGTTGGGGACTGGGGAGTAGAGAAGGTCATCAATAGACTTTTTTGATGTTACATATTGGAACAAACAAACCACGGTTTTATGGGGCCCATGAAGTCCAAATATGAAAAAAATATTTTGGGCCAGCAGTCTTCGGAAGGTAGCATTTCTCATTAAAAATTAAAATGTAAGCCAAAATTTCCAAAAAAACGAACCATGGATTGAACCATGGATTTTTTTCACATATCTCTTTAGTTTGAACATTAAATAAAATTTGTGAGCCTGAGACCCCTCCCCCTCAAAAAATCTCAAATACACATTTAGAGCTTTGTAAATTTTTTGATGTCAAATATTTCAGAAGATATTGGTAGAAAATCAAGTATTTGCCTTTTTTTGGATCTAGGCCTAGATTTCAGCATGATTAAATTAAGTTAAAAAATAATTTTCTAAATCTTAAGCCCTGAGAGCAGATAATTTGCCAATGATTACCATTTAATACATTTTGTTGGTAAAAAGAAACAGATTTTTAAAATAATGGAAATTGAAATTCAGCGAAAATTAGGACGACATTTAAACTTCCAAAATTTTTATATCACGATAGTTTGGAAGATTAGAAGCTGGGAAGGGCTTAGGCGTCCCTATCAAGAGTTTTCCCATTCATTCTTAAATCGCGAGTTTAAAAAAACTAAACAATACAGTGGGTTTTACATATGTCGTCTTCACACAGAACGAATGTCGTCATCACACACAAAAATAACATCTTTATCAATAGAAATGGAATTTTTTAAGGGAATTTCCGCACTTTAATGATGAATTTAAAGATTTTTTCAGAGATCAATTAAATTTTTTGTAATTCATATTCCAACTTATTTTGCATATTTTCCTAAATTTTGTAAACAACAACCTCCTCTATTGGAACTCGGTCGAACCACGGGAATTTTGTAAACATAGTTTAAAGATTCTAAGCTGCTTTATTTACAATATTGGACAAAATCTATCTCTAAAAAAATCAACTTCTGTTTACCTACTGTCTCTTTCTTTTAGTATAGGTTCGTAAAGTGCTGTCCAGACAACGTTTCTGTAAACCATTTAATTTTAAAAAAAGCTTTTTAAAAACTTTTGATGCGGAATCCTTTTTGAAAAAAAAAAGTTCCTGAGGCCGAATTTAAAAATATGAGCCGCAGCCCAATCATAGCTGGTTCCACTTAAAATTGTATTAAATTTTTCAAGATTTAAGCCGGCGCTCAATTGAAACCGGCTTGTAATCGATTATACATTCGGCCACAGATCATGTATATTTTAATACTTTCATTCGAAAGCAGAAAACTATCCAAAATTTTCGTATGTTTCGCTCAGTTTCATGCTAAACTTGATCTGGATTTTTATAATCTCTAATTTGCCCCTAGCATCCTCTGAATTTTTTTGTGGACAGTGGACAATCAGGGGTGGCCTGGGGGGGTTATAGGCTAAAAGAATTCGAAATATTTTAATTTTTTTCCCTTGCAACGCCGGGCTCTTCAGCTAGTAGTACTTAAAGTCCCTTTAAGCACAAGGAAAGGAAGCTCGTTGTAAATTGGTTTTCCTGGCTTTNTACCCCTGAGGAATAAATTGTTTATCTAACCTGCCGCTAAAGGACCCTCCTCCTTCTCTGACCAGAGAAAGACCGGTATTATTGGTTTATTTAACTCTGCAGCTCGATTCAAGGCAGGATTGTCATATATTCTGAATAAAAAAAATCAAACATGTAATATTTGATAAGGTTCGAAGGGGTCAGTTTACTGGACAATCTTAGGGAAATAAATCACCTTAAATCTCGTCTAAACCATAACAAAACTGGTTCGTTATCATTATCAATGTTTTTCTTCCTCTTTTTCTTCTTCTTCTTCGCCTCTCTTCCTTCTTCACTCTGATCATCATTCTAATCAATTTTAATAAAAAAATTTAAAATTACAAAAATACTGAACAGATTATAGTATTTATTACTTACATTCTCCTGAATCTCAACCTCTTTTAAAGCCAAATTTAATGCAATCAACGAGTCGTCAGGTTTCAGCTTTCCATCATCATGAAAATCATCAGTAGTGTCGAGAAAACTGTCAGAATCACTTTGATAGATTAAGTCCTCTATTTCCTGTCCATCTGGCTGAACTATTCCAAAGCAGGATTAAAAGCTATTTAGACCATGCAAGGGGCTATAGACGTTTTTTTTCAAGTGACCCTCGAAATATAGTGGTAGTTCAAATTCATAACGGTAACCAATAAATCTTTGACTGATACAAGCATGACTGAGGTTTTCTTTCCTTTTATTATATTATATAATAAAAGGTTCACAGAACACAGGGTTTAACTCCAGATTTCCGAAGTAACACCATTTTTAACATACACAAAAAAACATTATTTCCTAGCCGTCCATTAACTGATTACAAGTTTAGAGGGCTTCGCAGTGAACCAGACAAGCCACTTTTTATATGAAGGGTCATTTGAAATAACATCGCGTGTTTCTTAAAATTTAAATTCTTTCCAAAGTAAAATTTTGATTATAATCCCCCACACAAAAAGGAATGGCAACATAAAATGATTCGCTCATGTATTATATTTATATGTTTGCTATAGCTGGCTAAACGACTGAACGGAATGGGCTGCCATTTTTTAAGAAAATCCATGGGTACCCAGGGAAGTGACATAGACTGAAAAATTCGACATTTTTTTTCTTTAAAAATCCATTATTTTGAATTCAGGGTACTTGAGCTAGTATAAAATATATTCAAGCTGTAGACTTTTAATTTCCTATTGAGGCTGAGCAGCCGTAGAGCTCCTCGCACATTCTTTGCAATTGAGTAGAGCAGAGTTTAATATCTGTTCTCCAGACATTCTTTGCAATATCCTTCTCCAGGTCCTCCAGAACCTTATCCAGCATACTTTTGGCCTCATCCAGCTCATACATCGTGTTGATCAAACAGAAGAAATCCTCGAGGCTCAACTCTCCTCCTAGAAGCTGAACCTTGAGGTTTTCAACCTCCAGGGGTAACATTTTATCTGTAATTAAATATTGTTAAATTAAACGTTCTTCTTCAAGTTCATTATTCTTCTAGGATTAGGCTGACTTATTGGCCACTACTGAATGCATCTTTTGTTCTTGTCTGGCAACCCGAACCTAAATTTTTACATTGTAAAATTATAAATTTATAATAAACCGTTCGCTCATTTTTTTTTTTTTTGGATATGGACGGTCTTAAATCCGCTAAAATTTGTAAAAATTACTAATGCTCAAAAAACCAATTCAGGAAAGTATCTAATATTCAAAAATAGGGGTATCTTGGAGCCAAATCAATTTTATTTGAAAATTTCAACAGAATCTTTTTTCAGATCGAGAAAACTTTGAGTAAACATATAATGTAAAACATTTGTCCAGGAAAGGTTTCATTTTAATAAAAATTAACATTAACACGATTTTTAAGGCTATTTTTATTGAAGAAACAGTATTGAAGCTTTTTAACTCAGTTAAAAACACATTTTATTGAAAACGAAAAACTGACAAGATTTACAAAACATTTATAAAAAAATTGCAAAATTTTTCAATTTTTGTTATAATTCCTAAGTTAGGTTAACCCAGTTGCCTTTGAATGGCCCAAATGAGTCCGGTGTCCGAAGGGCAACTTCCACAGGGACAATTTCCCAAGTGGCAATTACCCAAAGGTTAGTTTAGGTATGGGGCCAAGAACTGCAGCTAGGACAGACTAGGGAAGTGACCTCTTGGGAAATTGCACATGTGGGAAGTTGCCACTTGTATAAAATACGTTAAACTTACCCAATAAATCTTCCACATCCTGATAGTTCAGGGTTTCCTTCTTGAGCAACAATTCAGCCAGCTTCTGCAGTTTATCTTGGTTTTCTTTTAAACAAGTTTCGGTCTTCCTGCAAAATAAATGATTTCAATTTAAGAAACAAGAATATTGAGGCAAACATCAAATTTTAAAATAAGATTGTAATCCAAAGAATATTTTCGATGTCAAATGTAAATTGTAAGAAAACTATCGACAAAACCAATAATTTTTGTTGTTTCTTTTTAAAATAGAATTGAATTTTCAGTTTACTTGTATGCTTGAGCTATGAGATTCCTGGCTTCTAGATCCATGGTGGTTCCCAACTTCTTACTGTACGGTTTCTTCCCACCAGATAGTTCAAAGGACACGTGGCCAACATTGGCATTGAAACCAAAATCTCTGTTAAATTTTTTTTTTCAAAACCAAACAATCATTGTAAGTGTAATTACAAGTGACCCGTAATTAAGAACTGGCATGTCCGGTTCACAACGCTTGCTTAAAATTTCTAGTGTTTTTACAAGGATAATTGATAATTTTTAGCCGTGGTTTCTCAATATAAGTAAAACAAGGGTTTCTAGTTCAGAAACAATGGCGTAAACTATAAAAAACTGACCACTTTTAAGGCTAGAAAAACTCGTCCATATATGATATCACATGATGGTTTCATGGGTACCATTGTAAATTTAGCATGCACCTCTATTAAAAGAAAGATCACTTAAAATTGCCACAACTGATTTATAAATAGTACTTTAGTTTTGTAAAATTCCTTATTTGGGCATACGCCATCTTCGTCACCTTTTCCAGATCATTCTGTGCTCCGGTTGTTATTCTAAATAATAATAAATTCTGATAATTTCGGCTCAACTTTACATTAGAGGAGGTTACCCAAGAGTAAGAGATGTTGTACAGTGTATAATTATATTATATTAAGTACTAGCTAGACGGCCCGGCGTTGCCTATGGATAAAAAAAAAATTTCAGCCCAATCGGTCCAGCCATTTGTGCGGCAATACGCAACATATATATGAATGTCTTGTTTTATTATTTAGATAGAAGATATAATTATATTTAATTATATTTCACCTGTTAAAAGTTAGGGACTCTGCAACTCTACCCCCCAACGCCATACACATTCTGTCCATCAACTCTTCTGGAGAATACAATTTCTTGTCTGAGGGAGTGTACTGGGCAAACCCTAGTGCCTGACTAGTTCGGGGCAGAATGGTCACCTATCATAACAAATTGTAATGTTTTCCTCACTGTAAAAATTTGAATTTTAGATACATAATTTCCTTGCCATCTCTTTCTCTTTTTTCAAACTTTTTTCCCTAAAAATCTTTTTTTAGTGAAGAAACAAATAGACAGTCATTTTCTTAATAGCGAACTGCATTGAAAAACAATTACAAAACAAATTTCTAGGAAAGTATTTCAATATTTGTTGGTAAAACTATAGTGTTATCCACAAAGGATACGCCTTCAGAGACGACTATGCGGTCTATACGTTCTTTTTCCTTTTATCCATGATTCCCTGCAAATGCAAACATTCTTTGCTAAATCAGAAGGTTAGATATTATCCTTTTTGTTATGAAGAGCGTTGAGAGAAGGGAGTCTTACGATCCGGTCCTGAGAAATACCACACGGTACATATATTAGGTCTTTAGGGAAATCGCTAAGTAGCGAAACAATATATTATAATATATATATTGCGAAATTTTCGTTTTTCTTCTAATTTCCATTTTTTTCGCGAAATTTACGCATTATTTTTACACGAAATTTTGGCATTTTGGTTAAATTTTCGCATTAAGTTTGCGAAATTTTCGCATTTTTCGCGAGCGAACGAAATGCGAAAATGAAACGAAATGGTCGCGAAAAAAAACTATTTTTGCTTTTCACTGGAAACCCTAGTGAAAGGTCACTTCAACTACGCGTATAGTCCCGTTAGTTTATTTTCATAGTACTTACGTGGAAAGATGCTGTTCGAAAATTTCCTTTCGCTCGATGAATGTTGGAAGATCGATGGAGATATGCCGATCAAACCGTCCAGGTCGGAGTAGGGCTTTATCCAGGACATCAGCTCTAAATCAATCTTTATCATTGTCAATCTTTAACATTGTCAATCTTTATCATTGTCAATCTTCATCATAGATAATATTCATCATAGATAATCTTCATAATTGATAATCTTCATAATTGTCAATCTTTGATATAGTCAATATATGTCATTGTCAATCTTTGTCATCGTCAATCTTTGGCATTGTCAATCTTTGTCATTGTCAATCTTTGTTATTGTCAATCTTTGTCATTGTCAATCTTTTTCATTGTCAATCTTTGTCATTGTTAATCTTTAACATTGTCAATCTTTATCATAGTCAATCTTTGTCATAGCCAATCTCTGTTATTGTCAATTTTTGTCATTGTCAATCTTTGTCATTGTCAATCTTTATCATTGTCAATTTTTATCCTATTCAATCTTTATCATTCTCAATATTTTAAGCATTATTCTGAGCATCCGTTGTACAGGACGGAGCTGTTGAATTGCTTCTTGTACTCCAGGTTTTTGGACAAGAGTTATATTTTAATTTCGCAGTTTTTCTTTTATATTTGTATTAAAACCTAGGTAAATTTAGACAATTGCATCTGGCAGTAAGTTACTTTTCACTCTGCTTACAAAGATCCCAGAAGTTCGATCAAATATAGGCCATGCTTTCACTTTGTCGCCAAACAGATTTTGTTGACAAATGTTGGATTACCTTCCTAATGGGGTTATAATTTTCTTAATCAATGTTTAAAGATTCGTGGGCAAGCCAAGCAAAACATCGACATAAAAAAAGTATGGCTAAGAACAACGAGTAAAGCCCGAACATTTTTATTTCAGTGGACTGGGCCGGCCCCCCCCCCCCCCTCCCTAAGATTTCCAGGCTCTGAACAATACCTGTTAGTACTGGCCAGTAGGAGAACATTCTCAGCGGATCCAATCCCATCCATCTCTACCAGGAGCTGGTTCAAAGTTTGATCCGCTTCTCCGTTAGTTTGTCCGCCCTGTCCCATGTTTCTCTGTCGCCCTGACAAATATCCACCGTCAATTTATAAACCAGTCATCGTTGTATATATCAATTCAATGAAGACGAATTTCTTTTTTAATTTTTAATTTCTATCAAGCTTTTGGAAAGTACTGCGAAAAGTAGCTTAATATAATATCATATATTTTTGAATGTTATAGTTCAGTATGATATATTTTTAAATGAATGAAAGATCAACTACCATTCCGTGGAAATGAAGGCCGAGTCCACTTTAAAAATAAGCGCCAAAAAATGGAAATTAATTAAATTAGATAACATTTGATTGATGACACAAGTCCAGTGTGAATCAACATGCCAAGGACTAGGCCAATGACCAAAGCCAACCAAGCAGTTTACCTATGGCGTCTATCTCGTCGATAAATATGATACTTGGAGCTCTCTTCTTTGCTTCAGAGAACAGGTTTCTAACTCTGGATGCTCCCAACCCACCTGACAGTTCAGTTTATTTAAATATAAGAACAAGGTCTTTTTACATTTTAAAGTCATTTGTAAAAAATTGAATTGAAGGGTCTAGAAGATGTCTTCCACTTCCTAATTGCGCTCGAAAAATTTTCAGGAAGGGGACGTTCCCCCCCCCCTTTTCCAAGAGGGAGGGGGGGTTTCCACCCTTACCCACCCCTAAAGTCACTTTTGCCTGTCCTTAAAAAACTTTTCATTTAAGGTTATTCCATAGTTAAGAAAAAACTGATTTTGAGGAGAAAATTAATTAATCTTTTAAAAAAAGTATCAAAGGTCAAAAAATTGATTTTTCCACAGCTAAGGTCAAAAACTTTTTCTCACTAAATTGAACTTTTCCTATCATCTCGATAAATTCTGATCCTGCCATCGACAAGAAAGGGACATTCGCCTCGTTCGCCACTGCCTTCGCAAGCATAGTCTTCCCACATCCAGGGGGGCCTACAGGAAATATTTACTTTAATGGATAGTTAGAGGTTAAGTCTTATTGTAACTTTATTTGATAAATATGATTAATTAAATATGTTCTGATATGTGATAGTCATATGATTAGATGAAATGTAAAAGTTTATAAAATTGTCTGGTTTTGGGGGAATTGATTTTGTTGAATTTTATTTAATTTCATAAAATTTAATAGAGAAGTACTTACATTTCTTTTTTAAATTGATCAAATTAGATAAAAAATTCAGGATAAAAGGATAATTACAATATTTGATAGAAAATGCATTGCATCATTGGATTTGAAAGGATGGTTACAATATTTGACAGCATATTCATTGTATGATTGGATTTGAAAGGATAATTACAATATTGGATAGAAAATTCGTTGTAAGATTGGATTTGAAAGGATAATTACAATATTTGACAGAATATTCATTGTATGAATGAATTTGAATGGAGGGTTACAATAATTGATAGAAAATTCTTTGTATTGGATTTGAAAGGATGGTTGCAATATACATTTGATTGAAAATTCTTTGTATGATTGGATTTGAAATGATGGTTACAATATTTGATACAGATTTTTATTAATCAGAAGATTTGAAAGGATTTGATAGGATTTAGGACTGTAGGCGAAATTTCAAGTGACCCTCCGTTTGTAGATTGAGGTAGCCGATTGACAACAGTAACTTAAAACATTTGAATGCTTTAGGATTTCATAAATGCTTGTATTTATTGAACACTAAGCCTGCAAGGTATCGTATATTTAGGAAATATTAATATTTATCTACTTCCTTCAAGTGAAAGAAAATAAATGTTAACAATTACATACGAATTTTTCAATCCCGATTAAGACAAAGAATATCAGGAATTTTCGAGGAATATTTGTAACGTCAGCTATCGTGATATCACACTGTACGCTATGGTACACTCCAGTCTTTCGGCAAACAACATTTAAGAGATGTTTACACGGAGTACTTTACCCTCAATGTACAAAGTGGTCGCTTGAATATACGCTTAAAGTTCCTGTTATTGAACAAACAAGATAGGCACTTAAGTTGGTAGGTTTAAAAAACATTTAATAATTCTATATCTTTTAAAACTTTACGAAATTTGATATAGCTTAATAAATTTGTATAGAAATTGAAAGAACTTCCTACGATTTGATAACGTTAAATATTTTAAAAAATTTAATAGAAATGAACGGGATTAGATGAGGATATCTAACCTAACAAAATAGCACCCTTCGGAGGTTTAGCTCCTAGCTCTTTATATTTGTTCGGGTTCTTCAGTAAATCCACGAACTCCATTAACTAAAACAGTCACTTTGTTACTAAGTGAAGGAGAATATTTTCAAAGAAATGTTCGAAAATCCAGCTCAAGCTGTATTCAACGAAACAACGAAAAAACAAAATAAATTTTTTTTAACACTCTCTTTAAAGGTGGACACTTTTGACTATATATAAATTTGGCTTGTCTGTTTGTTTGTATTATATAAATATATACCTCATAAACCCCTGAACTTACTTCTATTTTTGGTTCCTTGAGTCCTGCCACGTCACTAAATTTGACTCCTGGTCCATTCCTTGTCAACGGGTCCACGAGGGTAAAATCCGCCTGAGGAGATCAGAACACATTATCTTTTTTAATGAAAATTATTCTTTTTGTAAAAATTGGGAAAATAAAAAATTTCCTCAGTCATATTTTAATTTCACTACTATAAGTGCAAGGGAAAAAAATATGATTAAATGTTGAAGTTTCCGGTTTAAAACTCAGAATTCAAAAACGTTGAAATCGTAGAAATAAAAAATAAAGGTCTAACACCCTGATTTTGGAGTCCTTAAACACTAGTTATTGGCCTTATATAAATTCATAGTTAAAATCGCATCAACAAATAAAGGAATTTAGCTATTGGATGAACATCTATGGATACCTGATTTCAGCAAGTTTTGATATTGATCTACAGGGTTTCCCACGAAACATGACAGTTGGAAATAGTTTAGAATGTCTTCTTCTAAAATTTGTTAAGTTGTTTTAATACCAAAGACAATAATAAAAATATTATATAGGAGTCATACTATAGTAATATTAATTTCAAAGTAAAATATATTTGAGCAGAAGATTTATTTGACGAAATAAACAGCAAACAGCCTTAAATATCTAATACAATGTATGGAAGACGACATTCAAAACTATTTACCAACTGTCATGTTTCGTGAGACAACCTGTATAATCTTTTAGTTACTGAATCACTAACTAAATATTTCTTCGTTATTGCAAAAAAATCTTTCGTTTTTACCCTGCTTATTTTTCATCATCCTTACCTTTCCCATATTCTGAAACGGATTGAGTCCACCTATATTTATCTTTGTATTCTTGATGGTCCTAGAAACAGAAAGGTTAAAAATGTGTTTTTTTTTAAATTAATTCAATCAAATTTTCTGTCCAAAAACGTTGGATACGAATTAATACATGGCCAAATGTGGCAGTTAATGAAAAGATGGAATACTGAATTCTGCTTTTATTTTTTAAAAATCTAATTTTTAAATATTTCTAAGACTTGTTTAGATAATGATTTTTTTTTTGATTTTTGAACCTCTTGACCAACTTTACCGACCCATAATCCCCCAATAGCGGATTATTCAGTTACTTAACTGTCCCTTGCGACGATGACTTCCCGCTCTGCGAAGTTTTTGTGAAAAAAATTGGCACAGTTTCATTTCAAAATATTCTGGAAATAATTTTTTTTACTTAACCAGTATTTGTAAATAACTATNATGTCCTCAGGCCTCATAATGTGTACAAAATAACCTGGCAAGGAGGAGCAGTATGACTAGAACTAGACTGAGTCCAATTATTCTGCTCATATTCTGAGAGGTTCGTTCATATCTCACGCTCATACCATTCTCAGTACTGGAGACAAACCATGTTCAAATTAAATTCATGCAGATTTTACAACAAATACAACTTCAGGCTAAAAGATCTTGTAGTTGAAAAGGACAATATATGGACAGTCGAGTGAAGATGTAATTTAATGTGTGAAGAAAAAATTGATAAAATAAAAATAAAAGTTGACAATGATTTTTGTCGATTTCCTCCTCGTCTATGCAGCAAATATCCGCAAGTTCCAATTTTGATTGGGGCAATAAGGAACTCGGTAGAACCACAGGATTGTTCCTAGTTTAGTTTCAAATTAAAAATCAAGAGTGGGTTGAATTTTAAAGAGAAAATCTAGTTTCGAGGCAAAGCTTGAGTTTTGCAGGATAGTGGTACATAAATGGAAGAAATGAATGGTAGGTTCAAAATGTATTAAACGAAGAACCGAACAGGAGTTAAAAATCAAAATATATTAAACGAAACACTGAACACGATTTCCCTGATTCCCATTTCTCTCTCAGCTTCGCGAATCTTATCCTCGATAATTTCTGCGTTCGGAGAGGAAATTCGAATAATCTAGAACAAACTAATTGCAAATTTGCAAATAACAAATAACAAATAACAAAAAACAAAAAAAAAACAAAAAACAAACAACAAACAACAAACAACAAACAACAAACAACAAACAACAAACAACAAACAACAAACAACAAACAACAAACAACAAACAACAAACAACTAACAACAAACAACATACAACATACAATAAACAAACAACAAATAACAAATAACAAATAACAAATAACAAAAAACGAAAAACAAATATCAAATAACACAAACCAAATAACAAATAACGCATAACAAATAACAAATAACACATAACAAATAAAAAATAACAAATTATCATGTTAAAAATTCAACTAAAAATTAAACAATTTGAAGTATGACACTACAATATTCTAAAAGGCACTAATTACTTCAATTTTTTAATACCTCTATCTTAGCATCATGAATTTTCTTTTGTTATTTCTAACTTTGGCTGATCGATCAACAAAATTCAAAGCTTTAAATATTCAAAAATGGTCTACCACGATCAGGTTGCGAAGATATAAGGTAAGAAACTAAGTACTGGACTAAGCAACTTACCTGAGTCTGTACTCAGCAATCAGCATATTACATGAGTTTGCACTCAGTACATTACCTGAATTTGTACTCAGTGCGTTACCTAAGATTGTACTCAGTACATTACCTGAGTTTGTACTAAGTATCTTACCTGAGTTTGAACTCAGTATCTTAACTGAGTTTGTACTTAGTCCATTAACTGAGTTTGAACTCAGTATCTTACCCTTACATTACCTGAGTTTGTACTCATTCCATTACCTGAGTTGGAACTCTTTGACCCTTGTAAACAGCTCCTGGTTGAAGAACTGCTGTGGCTCGGTTAACACCAGAATGTATAATAACTTCTTGCACCTCACCCTGTGATCGTCAGAAAAAATAATATTAATATCAAGAAAAAAATAATAAAAATAAGTAGAACAAGAAAAAGGACACTAAAAAGAACAAGAACAAGAACGAAACAAGAGCATCAACAATAACAACAATAATCAGAATAACAATAACAGGTTGACCCACATTGGGTCAACGACCTAAGGTTAAATGCCATAGGGTCAAACGACATAGGATAAAACGACAAACGTTCAATAACACGACAAAGGGTAAGGGTCAAACGACAAACATATTTCTTTTGATTTTTCTATTAATATGTTAAATAACATGCTATCTCTTACCTTATTTTGGGTTAGGTTAGGTTAGGTTAAGACAATGGGCTTAGCGCTGTGGGCTGAGGGCGGCGCTCTGCGGCATCTTAAAGGTTTAATAATATGCTGTATCTCACCCTATGTTGAATTATAATAGGTTAAGACAATTTCCGGGCCGAGCGGTGGGCATGGATGGACAAGGGGGCCGAGCGCTGCGGCTCCTTAAATGCATATGTTGTCTCCCACCTTATTTTGGGTTAGATTAGGTTATGAAAATGTCTGGGCCGAGCGCTGCAGTCAGGTCGTTCTACCCTTGGTCGCGTTTTTGACCCTATGACTTTTGAGCCTAGGTTGTTTAACCCTATGTCGGTGAATCCAATAACAAAAACAATAACAACAATAACAATAACAATAACAATAACAATAACAATAACAATAACAATAACAATAACAATAACAATAACAATAACAATAACAATAACAATAACACAATAACAATAACAATAACAATAACAATAACAATAACAATAACAATAACAATAACAATAACAATAACAATAACAATAACAAAAACAATAACAATAACAATAACCAAAGTCTAATTACCAAAGTCTAGATTGTACCAACATATAGAGATACAGACTAATGAATGAATGAAGTCACGACCAACAGTCAAATGAACCGATCCAGTATAAATCCATATAAAACTGTCAAAATTATTAATATATTTCTTATCGTTATGATCAGTAATTTTCTTAGTTTAAAAAAATCTTGATCCAAAATATGCGTAACAAGCTGAACTGCTCTGCGTTGCCCGTGGAATCTCAAAATCGGTAAGAAAACGGCCTCCTGTGCCGAAACGGATAACCTTCGGGATATACTATCTTCCTTCTGCTACCCAAGGGGCGACATCGCATATTTTTATTTATTTTATTTTTATTTATTTCAGGGTTACAGTTTTTCCGACTAAAGTTGACATACATACCAACATACAACTTAGACGCTCTGCTTTACATTTAAGAACGTAAAATTCCAATTTTCAGTTTAATTGTATGCCAGGGTTTAAATTACAGTTACCCACAAAGGATGAGACTGTAAAGACGATCCAAAACTCTAACGTATGACGATTTGAAGCTTGCTTTTTGGTTTTTTCAATCGAGTATTTTGGTGGTTTACTAAATGGTTAAACACAGAAAAAAACCAGTTTTGGCCTACTGGGAACCCTGAATCCAAGGAATTGGACTAAACAAATTCAGTACAATCGTTTCTGAAGTCTAATTCTTTGTGGGTAACCCTGTTTACCTTGAGAAGAAGATTGTGGTAGAAATCATTCCAATCCATCTCTCCGACCGGTTGTCCTGGACGCTGGGCTCTAAATATGACAAAATAATCTATATTCTTCATTTAAATGATTTTTACTTTGGACATTTATTACCTATAACAAAAACTATGCTATCAAAAGGTTAAAAAGAAAGTATGAGGGAAAACAACTTATGTAGAAGGTCCAGAGTAGTAAGATACCTTTTGCTGGAAAAAGGGAACTTTTGTGGAAAACAGCTGTTTTTAACTTTACTATTTACGCTTGCATCAGCTCAGAGATACATCCTTATCCCGTTTAAATATTTACATTGTACAAACCTTTCCAAACTGGATGCGGAACCTCTCCCTTCTCCTCCCCCTCCTCCTCCACCACCACTGAATATAAGGACAAGGGCAAGGGGGAGAAGGAAAAACCCAACCACAGCTTTTAGTCCAGAAAGGAGACGCTCCCTTTCATCTTCGTTCTTGTCATACTTCTTCTTATCATCTTTATCATCCTGGAATATTCAATAATTCAGAGATATTTGCAAATTTTAACTTGTTATGGATTATTCTAGAATTATGTAATTCTTATTGAGAGGGGGGGGGGAGATACACATAGCAAACACATAAAATATACATTTATTTATTTATTTATTGTACTACCTTGTAACACGAATGCTTCCCAGGAATCTACTCGTCCCATTAATTTATGCTGTGCCTTTCAGGCAAATTATGGATTAATGACTTAGCATGACATGTGCAATGAGAAATGTTATGCGCGAGAAGAGGTAGCGAGAGCCGAAGCGACCCCCCCCCCTTCCCTACCTTTGACTACTATCTTCAGCCCATCTATTGGTCTAAGATTTCTCTTAAACTACATTAGTATAAATAAATATTTCTCTCTTCCTGGTAACATACAATGGCAGCTTTCTATATGTAATAGAATACCTGGAACCAAGTGGAAGATGTGTGTAAAGAGTTAATGCCTAGTATTCTTTCAAATTTATCAACTGTATTCAGTCCTGAAAAATTTAAATCCATATATATTATTAATATGTTATTTTTTTTCAATTTTTATGAATGACTTAACCCCCCTTCAGAGGTAAAAAAAGTTCTTGATGATGTCAGATGTAAACTGAAATATTCATGATTGAGCTGAAGCCTGAATATTTTTGATGCTGTGTGAAGGGCTGACATTAAATTTTGATTATGAGGAAGAACAGATAGAGAAGTGAATCCCTACCTTCAGTGAGAATGCAAATTCACAGTTTAAATATTTTTTACTGTTATATATTTATTTCTTGTGTTTTCAACATATGAGATTGCCGTCCTAGTCTAGTGTTATCTTACAATATGAAGTTTACGATGGTCTAAAAAACATTTTAGGTATGTCCCTTGCAACTATGATAAAAAAGTCATTGAAGTAATTTTGCATTCTCTTATAATTTGACTTTACGTGTACCTTATATATATATTAATTTATATAAAAGATATTTTCACAAATCAAGAACTAATTTGTGATAATAAATAACAAGACGCAGTTGAGCTAGAGTTTAACTACGTCTCTTTGGGCTACGAATGCACTAGAGAACAAGTTTAAACTACAAGATAAGTGGTTCAACTACTACAGTAGTAGTCCAACTACAAGATTAGTAGTTGGACTACTACAGTAGTAGTCCAACTACCAGATAAGTAGTTCAACTACTACAGTAGTACTTCAACTACTACAGAAGTTGTTCAACTACTACAGAAATACTTTAACTACTACAGAAATACTTCAACTACAACGTAGTTTAACTACTTGCGAGCTAGTTCCACTACTTCTTCCTGTCATTAAATCTTATCTCCGGCTGTAATTTTACCTGATCTGTTTAGAAGCTGTTTGCATGCTCTTATTTCACATTTTAGCATTGATAAATGTCTCGTCCCAATACTAAAACGTTCAATAACTTTTTCAAAATTAAATTAAAGTTAATATAAGTATTTATTTAATTACAGGTGAAGATGTTCAATTAAACAAAAACATTAGTTAAACATAATATTTGATTATTTAATCTCGAGTTTAAACTGCAGTGCGTAGAATCCACAACATGTTGGCTTCTTGGTGCAAAATAAAAACCCAATTACAGAAGAAAAAAAACTATTAGCTCCAAAGAAAATCGAATCTGTTGATAAAAGAGAGAATTTTAAAAATGCCTGCGGATAGGCCATCAAATTTAAATGAATCCTAAGAACTGGTTTCAAAAATTGCACTTGCCTGGAATTTTTCAAACATTGCAGAAAATTAGAATGCGATATTCTAGACATTGATCTCAACCCGATCATTTTTTCTGCAATTAAATTTGTTTAAAGTAACTGGTTCAGTTTGGGTTGAATGGATATTAAGTATGCACGAAGAGAACTATAGACCTGGGAGAGATATTCTAGATTCAAGTATACAAGAATAGAACTATAGATCCGGGAGNAGATTCTCTGTTCTCATTCTTAGCGTGCGCCTAAATACCTCCTCTCATTATCACATTTTAAATAAATCTTGTTGGGCTTAATGGGGCTGTTAACGTTATATAAAGTCAATAATAGACTCACAGAACGATTCACCGTAGTAACCTTTAAATATTTATCTGAGTAAGGCATCACAGTTTTTCAGAGATCAAATCTGACATGTCCTTCAATGTCTCTATGGCATAAATCTAATCAAAAAGTCCTTTCATGAATAAAAGCAATTGAAAATGATCAAGTTTCATGAAGAAACTCTTAGCTTTTGCTCAGATAATCTTTAATTGCTTGAGAGATTTTTTAATTTTAATTTTAAAAATAGGATTTTTTTTCATACAAAAATGTTCAAAATGGCAATTTTAGTAATGATGAGGTTCCTTGAGCATATCCATGACAACATTATCAAAATCCTCCGGAGTAGGTCGGGTTTCTGTAGCCCAGTAGTAGATCTCCCAATCATTAGAGGGCAAGTTAATCAACCTTAATCATCACACATTTATCAAACACAAGCTCAAGTGCCAGGCGTTGCCCGTGAAATTTTCAAAAAATAAAATTTTAAAATTTTTTTTTTGAACAATCAATTTTAAGAAGAAAAACAATCGATATGTTTTTACATATGTTTCCCTTTATTCGGTCCAGCCGTTTGGCCAGCTATAGCTTATATATATATACTAGCAAAGAGCTTATTTATATAGATAATCAACAAAGTTAACCAGCATTGATCAAACTAATAATTTTTCAGATTATATGCAAATTAAGTAACTTTTATATACGTTGTAGAGTTGCTTTGTATTATTTAAAATTACACGTTAAAGCCTGGAGAGGTGTACTTACTACTTATTCCCTTACCACAGAAAATGTCAAGTATAGTTTTATTTTACAGGGGGTGGGGCAAGGAATGCGACCCCCCCCCCCCCTCATGTTCAGAAATGTTTGAAGGCTTAAGTGAAACCATTTTACGAGATCTGACAAACAATATGAAAGTTTAATATGGGTGAATTCTGTTAATCAATTTTTCAATTAGCGTCTAACCTGTCGTAAAGGGATAACTTCTCTGGGTCCATATCAGACAAAAACTTCTTAGCAAAACTTCCTGAAAGCATTTAATCAAAAATAAAGAAATAAATTTAAATCATGCATTAAGTATGTCCTATGACCATTGACCACACTCCAATCCCAAAATGAATTAACAGAATTAGGTTTTCAAGACACTAACCTAATAATAATCCATTCTCTAGCATTCCACGCTTTCTAGATTGATACAGAAGACGAGCTCTTTTCTCCTCCAGGGGTTCATCAAACTAGGAAATATGAAATACTAAAGGAACAGTAGATGTAATTCAAGAAGTGGATCTTACATTCTGATCATGATCCTTATTTTGGTCCCAGAAACCATTCTTATTATAGATAACTTTGTAATTTGTATGCAAGCTGGTCAATAATCGAGGAAAAAAATATTTCTATCTATTAAAATTTTGACACCTTCGTTGGACATGGGTGGGTATTGTGTAGTGTGTACTGTGTACACTCCAATTTTTAGGCATAATTCGCGAACTATTTTTCGGTATAATTCGCAAAATATGTTTCGAGGTTGTGAATCGCGGACATGTAGCTACTTTATAAATGAATTGTTGTAATAAACGCCCTACTCCATAACCGTTTCCCGAACAAGTATCTATCCAGGTACAACTCAGATTCCCTTGACTATCAATGTCACAACCAGGACACGATCCACACGACTAACTGTATCAACGCCACTACCACTAGGCGCGATCTTGAGCTATCAATGCCTCAACAAGGACATGATCTCGTAAACTAACAATGTCTCAACTAGGACACAATCTTCACGACTAATTTGGCGTGTACTTTCAATGACACAACCAGGATACCATCTTCACGACTACTTTGGCGTGGACTATCATTGCCTCAACTAGGAAACGATCCTCAACCTGTTCGTTAAAACAGGGAACGATTACTCTCTGCCAGTAAACAGTACGGAGTCTCTTTTGCAACTGGGTAAATTTCTTCAGCTTAGATTAGATTTGGGTCTTAAACAGCGTAATTACAATATATAACGTAGTTAAGCAATCCCTATATGGGTATGAAGGAGTTATATATATCTATGTACATTGACTGGGTCAATCACAACACATGATTTACGTATTTACTAATGAGCACATTTAGCTATATGGACAAGGTACAACGTATTTACTATGGACCTCTCCTCTATATTTGCTACATGGTGACAGTCTACGTTGAGATTTTTAGGTTGGTAATTTTCTTTTAAAAATGTTTTTTACTCCTCATTTTCCCACCATTAATAATTTAATAATATTTCAAATATGCATATTATTTTGAAGATGGTAATGATGTAATGATGTAATGATGATAATTCAAATAGTTAACAACAAGAAAATAAATAAAAGTTTGCCCTAGGGAAAAAGTGAACTGGATATATTTGTTTTGTTTCAATATTATCTAGGGGGCAAATGTTTGCTCCATAGCCCAAAACAAACTTTTTGAAGAATTGTAAAGATTACTAATATGTATACTAACGAAAAAGTTACCTTTTCAATATATTCTGGAATCCAGGGCTCTTTCTATAAACAAATATACAATTTTAAATCTAATTAAAAATGTGAAACCATTTTAGAAAATTATAATTGTTTTAGTACCTTGTCAGGAGAATGAGTTGGACCGTCGTCACTGCTGAAAGTTCTAGAAGAAATCATTTTCTGCAGTCCAAGACAATTTAATCCTGAAAATATAACAAAATACTTCAGGGTTGAGTCGACTGAAGTGCTGCAGAACAACTAAGTTTTCCAGCGAAAACGATGCGAAATTTTGTGAAAAACAAACAAAATACGAGCAAATATTACGAGGGAAAAAATCGCGAAATTTTGCATAAATCTGTAAGGCGAAAATTTTCGCAAAATAAAAATGCGTAGTTTCCAGAAAAAAAAATTTCGCAATTTTTTGTGTTTTCGCCTTTTTATTTTTAAAAACAAAATGCGAAAAAATGCTAAATTTTTGGCGTAAAAAATGTTTCCCCATTTTGCTTGAATCCCTAATCACAACGTTAACTCAAAACTTCATTCTAAAATTATTATTTTGATTCAATTATTTTTATTTTATATGGAATCCCGATTCTTAATCTGTATGTATCTGCGCTGAATCAGGGACCATGATGAAATTTTTTCTTTTTGGAATATATTTAGTTCTGTTATTTTTGAAAATATTTTATTACACAATAAAAATTAGCTATTTGTCACTATATTTGGTGGGACAAAACGTAAACAGTTGAGGGTTGGAGGGTTTTACTACACGCTTATTCATAAAGGATGAGCCTCTAGAGACGACTGTATGGAATTTGTTCGCTACCATTTTATTATTCACGATTCCATGTCGGTTAACTTGTTTATTTCTTTGAAAATTCTATTAATAGCCCCATTCAACATTTAAATCGTCATATTTCAAGAGTTTCAGCTCTTATTCTTTAATAAATCTCATCTATTTTGAATAACGTTGTAGTAGGTTCACATATTTTTTAGATTTTGTATATCTTCTGGAAAATCTCCTTGTGGGGGATGGTAGGGGGGATTCTTAAATTTTTAGCATTGGATACTGACCCACCACGATCTTAAGCAATTGCAAAAAAAGTTTAGTTTTAGTTTACTAAAAATTCAGAACATTATAAATAGCTTTGCAAAAATGGTATTTGTAATACCTTGTTTCGTCTGTCCAATATTGGAGTTGCGTGCAGTGAACACCACTAATTTCATAATTCGAGACATGATTCTGAAAATACAAGAATTAAACGTAACATAAAAAAAAAATATTCGAGATCAGCATATTTAATACTTTTTGGTCGAAAGGGATACTCTGTACAGTCAACAGACCATCATTTCTTGGCAAGAAATCCATCCATCGTTTTCTGTTTCTTCTTGGGAGGCTCCTTTCCCTCTTTCTTCTTAGGGGTCTCCTTGCCAGCTTTTCCTGAAATTCAAAATTACGTCTTTGTAATTTTTAAGCATTGAAAAAACGATGCAAAATCAAATTGGAGTAATTTTATATCCCTCCAAGGAGTCCAATCTAATGACTATCAAATTTCATAAGTATCAATTTTATCATTAAATACTCTTCGAACAAGTAAGGACGAATTCCTGATCATGCCAAAGTTTTTGGCGAAATATATTGAGAAGAAAAAAATGTAATTCTAGTGAGAGGAAGAAGGATTGGAACTTGATTCCAACGTTTACAATTTATGACAATTATATATAACATCAGTTTTTTAAATTGATTTTTTGTATGCTGTTCTTAGGACTGAATTAGGAGAGAAGGAAAAATAAGTTAATCTAGAAAATAAAGAAAGAATCATGTAATTAAAATGAGAAATCAAAGATTTTAAAAAGTTTTAGTGAGTTTAATTCAGGTTATTGTTTTTTTTTCTTTCGATATCATATCTCTGTTGAGTTTGAACATTATAAGATCAGGCAAACATTTTTTCGCGTTTGTTTGATTTGTTGAAATTAATATATAATAATAAATAATTTTGAATTAACTTTCTTCAATTAGGACATAACAACAGAGTTAAAACGGAAAAATTTTCTGATAATTTTATTCTAAAACTAACACCTGAGACTAATGACTTTGCTCATATTAATAGTCAACATTTGTGGGTGGTGTATTTTTCGACCTACACAAATCCGCTATACTTCACTTCTGACCTACGACAAATCCGCTATACTACACATCCGACCTACAAGCATGTGGTTTTACAGCTGCTAAATGGACTGGAGGCCGCAGCGCCAGGCCCCCTAGGACCCCTAGCCTGTCCTCGCCGCGGCGCTCGGCCCCCAAGCCTGTCCTAGCCGCGACGCTCGGCCCCCTAGCCTGTCCTAGCCGCAGCGCTCGGCCAAGAAATTGTCCTAACCTAACCTAACCCTCAAATAATACAAAAATAAACAGCTGGGGTAGGTCCGATATTGCAGTAGGTCAGAAAGTTAGTAGGTCAGTAGTACAGTAGGGGGGATGTTGCGTATAGACGATGTAACATTACCCATTTGTGAGAAGTGTTTCAGGGCTTTAACGTTTTTTTTTGTAGAGCGACAACCAGAAAACTGTGAAATAGGAATATGACATTATACCAATACTAAGGTGCATTTGATATTGTTACAAAGCAAAATTTATAACAAATAACATCACTAAATAAGTTAAATTGGTCTGTTAACACATGCACTATTGTTGTGTCTCATGTTCATTGAACGTATTATTACTGAAGTTGTCTTCTTCCATTTTTAGAGTTTCTGGTTCTCAATGTACAGAGTACATTTAATTATCAATTCCCTTCAGATCCGGAACCTAATCACTACAATATCCAACGGATCCGGATCCAGAACCTACTCACTACAAAATCCAACGGATCCGGATCCTATCCTAAGCACTGCTATTTAGGAATTTACCTGCATCATAAGCTTTCTTCATCCTTCCAATGTTTATCTTTGATATGACAGTGTGGTCCACAATAGGGCGAGGATAGTCCTAAAATTAAAATTAAAATTTGAATAAATTGATTAACAAGTTTTCTATGGATGTCTTTATTCTTCTTTTATTTTTATAAAGCCTCCAGTGATTTTGTAACAGTTAAATGATATATTTCTATAAATGTCTCCTAAACATTTTTAAACAAGTTAAATCAAATAAAAACTGATAAAAAATCTTACCCCCAAGGAGTGGGGCTCCTTGGGGGTAAGATTTTTAAATAACTACGTATTTATCTTACAATTTAAATGTATTACGATAATATATTTAACATCTATTTAAATTCAAAGTGATCACTTTTAAAAGGTTTAAAAATTTAAAAATTACATGATATAAATAATTGCTGACTGAAAGATTCATATTTCCAACAAAAATTTCAGTCGGTACAGAGTGGCCGGCGGGGCGGTACAGAGTGGCCGGCAGGTCGGTAAATAAAAAGTCGCCCAGCAATGCCTGACTAGGTGACTAAGGATATAAAATATTCGACCTGTCCAATAATACACCCAGCTGCTTTCTGGACGGCCAGGGGGGCTTCCCAGGGGGAGTAGATATATTTATCTGGGTACTTCTTTAACTGGGGCAGATACTTCCTGTCCAAACCAGATCTATCAACTTTTATCTAACTTTTAATTGCTGCTCATCAGCGATATGTTCTCTTTATAAATTAACTAACAGTAACAAAAACAAGGGAGTTATCGATTTTGTTCGTGCATTTGGAAAAATCAAATTTGATGCGGCTAGATTCCAACTATCAATAAACTGTCTTTCGAGGTCATAAAAGGTCCCAGAAAAAATTAGGCCCGATCGGTTCAGCCGTTTATTAGAAAAAAAACGACCAATATGTAATATATAAAGATGGGGTACCCATATCCTGTAAGTGTACAATCCCCTGATTGCTTTCATTGACATATTTGGAATGATGTTAACAACTTGAAGATCTTAGTTTCCTAATATATTCTCCTGTTGGATCAGTTTTCTTCCCGAAGGCGACAGGACTGTAAACTCTGCACAAAATATTTGTAAATTAGTTGGTAGATAAATTAATGAAAAATAATTTCGCCTCTTCAGAAATTAATCGTTCACCTGTTCTTTTAATTTAATTATTTTTTGATTTCTTAGTAATATTAGGAAAAACTAAAAACTATAACTCAATATATTGTTCAGGTTTCTTCCATACACGTTAAAATCCATGCTTATTTCAAGAATAAATATCCAATTCGGAAAAGACTGTAACAAAGATGAAATTTTGGGTTTAATGCATTTGCGATCATATTTAGAAAGTAAATATTTTATTCAAAATAAATTTCCCCCCAAAAAATATTAAAGGTTTTATCACAAAAAACTTGCTTTCTTTAAGGGAACCAAATTTTCAAGTAAAAAGTATGTTAACTATTAATTTTAGATTTTCAACAAGCATCTTGGAAACCCGGGAACTAGAAAATCTTTAAATATTAACTTCCCATCAGCCTCAGGAGTGAGAATAGTTCTAAAAAAACATCTCGGAGTTGATATAAATACATGGTTTATATATTTTCCCCCATCAAAAACCAAGTTTTTTTAAAATCCTTTTTTGTATTTTTTACCCAAAACCAATTCATTTCCCGCTGAAAATAATCTTTCCCCCCACAATTCAGAGATTAAATCCTTTAAAAACCCTTCCTAACACCTTATGGACAAAATTATCTTTCAAATAAAACATACACCCCTGAAAATATTGTTAAATTATACCTGAAGAATTGGTAGAAGAATGAGGAGGCTGACAACCACATCCAGTTTCCAGCGTTTAATGACCAGTCTGCATCCAGCAGCAGCTCTTCAAACACCTCCTGACCACGCTCCCAGGACTGGTACAGATCACCTCTTAAATAAACAAAAGTGAAAATACTGATCATGTTTTTCTCTAACCACTATCACTATCACTATCACTTACTATTACTATTACTGTTACTTTTTTTAAGGACAACCCGCCATTCGATAAAGTAAAATACCTTATTTAGTATTTCGGGCACGGAAAAAAACAATATTGGAGACGGAACATCAAATCATTCAAGATTTCCATAATTGAAAAAAGAAAAGTGGAACGAAAAAATGTTTTCAACTACACAAAAATGTTCATGTTAAGATAAGGTTATAGCGAAACAAATTTACATAGTAACCTAATAATAATAAAATATTAGGTCTTTTAGGTCTTTAAAGTTAAATTTTAAATCGTTTTGTAATCATGAGAAACATGATCGTAACTAATGCTAATGTTAGGAAAATCAAAAATGGATATTTTTAATAAGAACTCTTTTATAAAATAGCCCTTTACCTGGTAAGAAAGCATGCAACACTGTGTCTAGCTAGATGATGAATCCACCCTTCAGTTCTTTACAACGATTTTTTCATCATAACATTAATAGTACTAAAATCAAAATAAAAAAACTGTTTGGTAAGACTCGAAAAATACAATATTTACAATCCATAAACGAAAATGTTATTTTTAAATCATTTTAAGAAGTTACAATGGTTTAGTTTATAAAGCGTAAAAACTAAGGAATTTTAAATACTAGAATTTACTGTTTGATTAAAAATATTCAATTTTTAGGCGATAAAATCGCGCGCAATCAAGATTTTATTTTATTTATGAATTCATGATGCCAGGGATCAGATTTAATTAAAATTGATCGAGAAGTAGCTGAACCACGAGGACGTAGTTCAACCACTTATCATTTGCGCCGGTTCAAGCTAAAGAGAAGTAAATGAACGATGTCTACACTGTTCTCGTTATTTATTAATCTGTTTCCGGGTTATATCTATCATCTGTTGAGACGAAAAAGTGTCCCTAAGCTGTGTCATGATTGCGTCAATCCACGGAAACCCTGTTCTAGCCTCCGCCCAGGCAGCTACCTTCTCGGGGTTACTGAAAACATTTAGGCATTTTAAGAGACTGTACACTAACAAGTGAAACACTCAATTTGTAGCATTGATTTTTCGATTCACAAGGGTACACACTCCACATTAAAGCTTTGCATGATCAAGAATAAATGAAATATCCATGTTTTTAACTCTGAAAATTGATTCTTGAGGTTTAATTCCCTATCCAAGTGTCTAGCGGATAAAGGCTGAGAAACAATTAATGAAAATTGTCAGAAAATAATTTTTAATCAAGAAAAACTATGATATTTTTCAATGACAGTCCCTTTGATATAATTCTCATTAAGTTGGGGCAGAAGGTCAACGTTAACTGTACGCAGAACCGTCCTACAACCAGTGCTTAGGATCCATTTAATTTCAATGCGGATCCGGATGCGGATGCATATGCGAAACAAATGGATTCGGATCCACGTTATTTCTTTAAAATTTACTGAATCTTTAACAAAGCAGAATTTTCAAATTCTTTGTCTTATTTTTATGCTAAAACTTGATGTACCATTTAGAAATTTGTAAAGTCTTTTTTTCATAAGTTCAGATTTGGGTTTTGAGAGTAATATTTTTTTTTGCTGTTTTTGTTGATACTTTGCCCCTTGGATCCGGATCAAGGAAGCCAAAATCTTGCGTATCTATAGGATTCGGATCTTAAGCTCTGCATGCATCTGATTTAAGATTAAACATTTAACAGTGGGATTCCTCCCCAGCCCAGGTAAATTTCAGATTCTTGTTTCCTATCTTTGTAATGGTTTCGTTAAAACTAGCGGATCCTAATACGTCATAATCTTTAATATAAACACATTCACATTTTAGAGAAAAATGTTACAGCATATTAAAAATTGATGCAAGGTTTTTACTCTTTTTTACATTTTTTTGTAAACAAAAACAAAGTAAAGATAAAGGCAGGGGTTTAATAATTTTTTCATGTTGGTAATATTTGTGCGGAAAGGAAAAGAACTTGTCTTTTGATGTCAAATTTTTAATTTTTCCCCCAGAGCAGGATATAGTTATTGAAAATATAAATTTGTCCATAAAACAAAAAATAATTATGAGTGAGGGTTCACAAAAAAGTCACGACGTTTACCTGTCCCAATCAATTTGTTTACATATCTGGTTTCCCTCCATTTTATCAAAGTTCCTGATCAATAATTCATTAATTTAAGATATATTAAACTTTTGAATGATATAGTGCTAATCGTCAAAGCTTAAACTCGTTGTCAACAGCCATAAATTCGTGAAAAACTCATACATAAAAATCTATTATTGTAAGAAGAAGTTTTAATAAATTGAATCTTCCTACCAAAAGGAACTAACTTAATCCCTATTAATAGTACACAAGATAAGGATTAGTGTTTCTGTATGGATTACCAATACAAAAATTTCCAACGGTCGATTTATATAAAAAGATACATTGAGTACATAAAGGGAATGGTTTATAAACTGTTCTAGAGAAATGAATTAAAATGAGATGATTCTCTAATGAAAGGATGAATAGTTGTAAGAAAGAATGAATGAATGATGTTCCTGGTGTTAGCTCCAACAGTATAGAAGAACTCTCTCCAGAGAAGTTGTCCATGCAGAGATACAGGAGGTTCAGTGTGCTTCCCAGTCTGCAAACATTTAATAACAATATTTTCAGATTTTTATTTATCTAAAAATAGGGTAAATATTTTCTAGAATTTCCTAAATTACTGGAGGGGGGAGGGGACGGCGGGGATTGAATAATTGGACTTCAATGGACAATTTTTCTAAAATTTGCTTGGGCGAATGGAGATAAAAAAAACCCTCAAATTTTCACTCTGAGCAATCATTCAAAAAGAATATGCTCTATAATCTTTCTTTTTCGTGCTATTGCTGAAAACCTGGATAAAATTTAGTTAAAAGGTTATTTTAAAACTTTTTTCAATATTTGCATTCATTTATGAATGAAAACAATGATTTTTATAAATGCGAGAAATAAGCTATCCAAATTGTTCTAATATTCGATTTCTTATCAATATAAATAAATGGCGAATACCTTGTAAATACTCTGTAGTTGCCAGTACATAGTTCTGGGAGACAGACAACCGAATTTCAGGTACGGGCTGAGAACTGTGGTTGAGGGCTTAAAAAATAACTTTATTAATTGTTGGATATAAAAATATTTCATTCAAAAAACAAAGATATCAATTGAGAACCAATTTAGAAGTCTTAAAGTAAAATAACACCTTGGCTCATAGACAATCTTGATTGACTTCTTTATGATTCCTTATACTTTTCCACATCCTATTTGACGAAACCTTATACTTTTTCACATCCTATTTGACGAAACCTTATACTTTTTCACATCCTATTTGACGAAACCTTATACTTTTTCACATCCTATTTGACGAAACCTTATACTTTTTCACATCCTATTTGACGAAACCTTATACTTGTTCACATCTTATTTGACGAAACCTTATACTTTTTCACATCCTATTTGACGAAACACCTCCAATTGTAAATTTGAAAAATTGAGCCATTTATTAACATTTGAGACGCGCTCAAACATAGTTGGTTCCACTTGAAAATGTATTCAGTGTTTTGAGATTTGAGCCGGCGTTCAATTAGAACCTGTTTTTTGCGGTTCAGCGACCCGGTTTAAATTCTTTAAATTCGGCCTCGGGATAATTGAACCATCTATCTAAATAAAACTGTATTTAATTGGATACCTCAAGAGAGTTCGGAGACGTGTTAGGTTTCTCAAATTTGAGAACCCAGCCTCGGGTTTTTTCACAGATCTTGTCCTCCAACCTCTTCAAGGCCTCGCTCTCGCCACCAGGAAACTTATTCAGACCTTAAAGAGACCGTGAAGGAAATTTCATGTTACTCTTTATTTAAAGAACAAAAATAACCGAAATATCCTTCTTTGTATCTTAAAATTGATAATTTTTAGTAATCGTTATTCATTTTAAGTAACTAGTGGCCTAATGCAGCAAAAACAAGGAAGGAATATCTTTTTTCAAAATATTTTCTTTTTTGTTTGTTACTGGGATAAAGGTTGAAAAAGTACCCATGTAATCGGGCATTATTATTATTTTTATTATTATAATAATTATTACTATTATTATTATTATTATTATTATTACTATTATTTTAGCCCATCCTAGCCGCAGCGCCAGGCCCAGAACTTGTCTTAACCTAACCTAACCCTAAATAACAAAAAAATAAATAATAATAAATTTGCTGAAAAATAAATGATCATGTACAAAATTGATAGGAGGGGGGGAGCGGGGCACGGGGGGGGGTCCAAAAATCGTTCACTAGGAGACCCTAGCGTTTACCTCCAAAACTGGATGTCACAAGAAATAATATCGACAGTAAAATAAAAAATTTAAAAATATAAAATCTGAATATTTTTCAAGGACTGCACGCACGGAATTGATGTTTGTATAACTTTACGTTCTCCGTTCTACTACTAGACAGCAAATGAATATTATTCAGAGAATCAAAATTAGAGTAGTCGATAGATTCACTACCCCTTGTTTTTCCAGAGCAATCCCTTTTATAATCTTAGATATTGGTTTGTTGTGATCAAATAATGCAAAAAAAAAATTATGGCAAGTAAAGATAAATGATAAGCTTACTTTATTAGTCAAGTGAAACATTAAAATAAAATTCGTTGGAAAGAAAAATTAATTTATCGAAAAAAGGTCAAGCTTTCAGTTAAAAAATGTATATTCAATATTTCATACAGAACGTTTTTTTCCTTAATTGGAAAGTGAAAAATAGTCGTTCAGTATTATTTCAATTGATTCGCCCCGGGGAAATACGGAATAAAGAATCAATTGATAAATATTATATATAAAGTCATAAGCAGAAAGACCCGGAATTAATTTAAAATTTATCAGACGAAGTAACAGCTAATTTTACAAAAATGATTAATGAAAAGATGACAATAGCCCTAGCCCTGCCAATTCCAAAATGTGGTCTGCCTTTATTGTGCGTTTAAAATTACCCGAGATATATGTGTTAAATGTTCTGATTAACTGTCCATTACTTCCGGGCATTACTGGTGTTATATTAAAGAATGCAATAATCCAGCTGCTTACCTAGATCATCAGATTTCTTCCCAGCTCTCTTTAAAATATCTTCTAAACTAGGAACATCGTATTTACTCTTTAAAAATATATCCAATATTCATCTCAGTTCTGTTACTTGTTCTTATTCAATTAAGAAAAAAAGTTAGAAAATAGAATTATTTGAAAGAATTTAAAAATGTATTTTCCTCTAAAATATCATTTATATTTGAATTCAGGGATAGGACTTGAATACTTTGAATAATGGTCTAAAACTTTTTTTTAAGGAGCAACAATTTGCAAAGTGATGCAAACATTTTGGAAAGTTTCAACAAAATTTGGAGATAAAAACCTGTAAGGATATGAATTATATAGCTACATATCAACATAGGCCCTAGGGTATACATTTTAAGGGAAATTATTTCTCCCTCTGAAAATTAATTTTCCCCAGATGTAAGGTACGTTTCGCTGAAAAAGGGAAAATAAATAATTTTTAAACAAAAAGTAAAAAGTTAAATTTTGATAACCAATTTTTCATTTCTTGAATTCTTTAATAGTTCTGCCAATAAATTCAAAGTTCTGATTCCTTGGATAATAATGATAATAAAGCTCCCCATTGTAGAACCCGCAGACCACCATCGTAGTATTAGGCCAATGCCTTAAATCCTTTCAATATTAATAAATGCAGGATAGATCTTTTTAATATGATCATCGAATATTTTATGAAAAATATCAATTCTATGTCAAAAGCTTGCAATACCTCAATGGATATTCTGTCCAAACATTATGTTGAACAAAATTTAACCTATTCAATGATTCCTTTAGATATCAATCGGAAAATACCACATTTGTGTGAACTGTTAGATGTAAGATCTAATCTAATTTCTCTTGACAATTTTGATTTTTTAAGAATTAAATAAGTTAATTTGTTTTTTATGTACCGACTAACAGTTACAAATGATACAATCTATATGTTTATTCATTCTTTCATTCGTTCATTAAAATGTGTATGTGCTGTACAGTATACACCTCGTAATATCTTTGTTTGTATCTATGTGTACGAAATATACTTTTCTATGATAAATAATTAAGTAAAAGTATAAATTGAATATATTTCCTCGTCTATGTCCTCAGGTTTTGACTCTGTTGGCAGCACAGCAGGAAGTTCAAGAGGTTTAGCAGGGGAACCAAGTTTACTTAACAATCCCTAAACAACAATATCATAGCATAGCGTTAAAAATGTTGTAATAGAAATATGAAGATATCTAGAAGAGAATATTACGCCTGTACCATATACAAACAATAAAAATATCTGACAGAATATAATATTACTCCTGTACAAGTATACCAAAAAGATTGCTATGGAAGTGAGTTAAAACATCCATAATTATTTTTACAATTAACAACATTGTTTTTATACTTCGTAGGTAGGTCACAGATATAGGCTAGAGGTTAGGCTGGAGCAACCACAATTCTACAAAATGTATCATTGCACGGGTCATCACCAGCCCAGGTGTGGCATGCCCCCAAATATTCCAGAAAAGGTATTTCAAGGGTTGGTGAGTGAGTGAGAGTGAAAATGAAAACAAACCTGAAACTTCTGGTACGTAAGCGGAACATCTCCTTTATTAGCTGCAATGATAGCTTCAGGATTGTAGAGAGTGTGCCCACAAAAAGTTTTAACTTCGACATTCAAATCCTGGAAATATTATCAATTTACATTATAACAAGCCTTCATTCAACTGTGCCATCACTTATGCTTGAGCCAGTAATTTAACTATTTTAACCAATTTCATCAATAGCTCTTCAACCGATGATAAATTTTGCTTAGACTTATTCAATTTTAAATTTAAATTTAAATTTTGTTTAGATTTACCAAAAAAATGTTTAATTTCCCGAATTCAACGAAAACTTGCATACATAATATTGCTTCAGACATTCATAATAAACTGAGAGAAAAAAATTATTTTGAGAACTTTGGGGTAGGGGGTGGGGTAGAGGGGAGGATGGCAACAGAATAAATACCCCTGCACTGGGTAAACATTACCTTAGCAATATTTTTTATTTTTGCATCTCTGGATACAGCATACGGTTCTGTGTCTTCCTCCCAAGTAAGTAATCTCGCATCCCAATCCCTTATGAACAAGTGAACAAGTGAACAAGTAAACAGGTGAACAGGTGAACAGTTAAACAGCTAAACAGTTAAACAGTAAAACAGTAAAACAGTTAAACAGTTAAACAGTTAAACAGTTAAACAGTTAAACAGTTAAACAGTTAAACAGTTAAACAGTTAAACAGTTAAACAGTTAAACAGTTGAACAGTTGAACAGTTGAGTTAAACAGTTAAAACAGTTTAAAGGTTAAAACAGTTTAAACGTTAAAACAGTTTATAGGTTAAAACAGTTTAAACGTTAAAACAGTTTAACCGTTAAAACAGTTTAACCGTTAAAACAGTTTAAACGTTAAAACAGTTTAACCGTTAAAACAGTTTAAATGTTAAAACAGTTTAAACGTTAAAACAGTTTAAACGTTAAAACAGTTTAACCGTTAAAATAGTTTAAATTTTAAAACAGTTTATAGGTTAAAACAGTTTAAACGTTAAAACAGTTTAACCGTGAAAACAGTTTAAACGTTAAAACAGTTTAAACGTTAAAATAGTTTAAACGTTTAAACAGTTTATAGGTTAAACCAGTTTAAACGTTAAAACAGTTTAACCGTTAAAACAGTTTATAGGTTAAAACAGTTTAAACGTTAAAATAGTTTAAAGGTTAAAACAGTTTAGCAGTTAGAACAGTTTAACAATTAGAACAGTCTAACAGTAAGAACAGTTTAACAGTTTAACAATTTAACAGTTTAACAATTTAAACGGTTGAACAGTTAAATAGTTTGAACTGTTTAACAGTTAGAACTGTTTAACGCTTTCTCATTTAAATAGTGAATAGTTTTATAGTTGAACGGACATTACTGATAAAAATCATACTTTTAAGGATGAGTTGAGTAAATCAACCCTATCTGCCCAGCAGGAGCTAGGTGGGGTTAAACTTGAAGATCTACAAGGACCTGAAGCTCTGTTTGAACCAGGGAGTAAGGATGGGCAGACTAGGATGGTTCGGGATGGCACTCAAGTATCAGGTATATATGNGCTTTTTTTTTTTTTAAACATTAGTTCAAACTTAAAGCCAACCCCCTTTGGGATCGATTACTTGACAAATAGCTTTGATTTGATCAAAGTTTTTACAAAATTCCGAATTTTTTTTATTTCCATAATCATTGGTTAAAGTAAATGGTTGACATTACTCTTTTACTAGACTAAGCTTGTGAGACGATCACAGCGCTGCAGCTAGAATATTTAAGATATTTTTTATTTTCTAGTTCATGCTTGGTCAATGTCGGAACAGAAGTGGAACAAGATCGGCGATGTAGTTGGAGCTGCTGGGGGATCAGAGGCGACTTCAGGGAAAAAGCTCTATCAGGTTGGATTAAGGGGGACCGTGCTATATAGGGAAGGAATATATACACCACTTGATAATAAAAATATGCGTCAAATTTAAATTTTTAACTATAATTTCTGAGAAAATTGCCCTGTCATTTTCATCATTTGTCTCTGTTTTTTGCCCTGTTAATGTCCGTTTTTGCAAACTCAATTTTCTTTATTTGTAGGGTAAAGAGTACGACTATGTATTTGATATTGAGATAGATGAACCCAAATCTACCCTAAAACTACCCTTTAACATCAGTGATGACCCCTATATGGCCGCCCAGAAGTTTATTCACCAGTATGATCTAAGTCAATATTATCTAGAAGAGATCGCTGGACACATTATGAAGAATACTGGTGGACAAACATTAGGGTTGGGAGCTGGTGGTAATGTCGATCCCTTTACCTCTGGTGGCTCCTACACTACCCAGGGTCTAGAACAGTTAAATCCTTCAGGAGGTGTGGCAGTAGATCCATTCACAGGCTCTGGAGCCTACACGTCTGGAAGTGGTGGTGGAGATATCCCAGTATTAGGTGTTAATCCTCCCCCTGATCCCTGGATGCAGGGTGCATACACAACTTCACAGGCAAACGGAATGGATGTTGATACTCCAAACCCATATTTCCCGCACACAGAGTTTATCAGGTTTGACCAAGCTCTTAAAGCTGAACCATTGATCAACAAACTGAAGGAGTTTAATTCTAAGGTTGAATCTGAGCTCAAACTTGAAGATTCAGTTATAGAAGTTTTACCAAACCTGGCTTTGTCGGAGAACAAGGATCCTGATGGAGTAGCAAACCTACTTAAGGTATTGAGATGGAAGGATGAGTATATATTCCCTGCTCTGGATCTAGTTCGTCTGGTTCTCCTACATCCACACAATCAGTCCTTTGTCCTGGATAAGAGCTTCTTGGACCAGTTATTCAGTGTGTGTCTTAGAAATGTAAACAAAGATTCTCCACAACCCACACAGATGCTCTCCTTGCGAGTACTGTCTAATCTCTTCTCTATAAATCAGGGAGAAGAGTTCTTGATGCTGTACAGAGAATCTGTTGTTACAAGAATATTTGAACATTTGTTTCCTGTAGCGGCAGAGAACAAGAATATTCAGATTGCTGCAACAACTGTGATGCTCAACTATACTGTAGCACTGTCTAAACGACCCTTGGATGAAGACGGTCAAATTCAGGCCTTGTCTGTGCTTGGCGTCAACTTTCTAACATTTTTAACAGGTAGGATTTATATTTTTTTCACTGAAATGGAACCAATTAGAAAATATCAAATTATAATTTATATATATTGTAGATTGGGAAGCTAGGTTTAGAACCCTGGTAGCTCTTGGAACCTTGATCAAATTATCACCAGACAACCAGGAATATGCAAAGTAGGTTTATACAACCTTTGTCCTACTGTCCTCTAGTAGGTTTATACAACCCTTTTTCTACTGTTCTCTAGTAGGTTTATACAACCCTTGTCCTACTGTCCTCTAGTAGGTTTATACAACCTTTCTCTTACTGTCCTCTAGTAGGTTTATACAACCTTTGTCTTACTGTCCTCTAGTAGGTTTATACAACCCTTTTCCTACTATTTTTTAGTAGGTTTATACAACCCTTGTTCTACTGTCCTCTAGTAGGTTTATACAATCCTTGTCTTACTGTCCTCTAGTAGGTTTATACAATCTTTGTCCTACTGTCCTCTAGTAGGTTTATACAACCCTTGTCCTTCTGTCCTTTAGTAGGTTTATACAACCTTTGTCCTACTGTCCTCTAGAAGGTTTATACACCACTTGTCCTACTGTCCTCTAGCAGGTTTATACAACCTTTTTCCTACTGTTCTCTAACAGGTTTATACAACCCTTCTCATACTGTCCTCTAGAAGGTTTATACAACCCTTTTCCTACTGTCCTCTAGTAGGTTTATACAACCCTTGTCCTACTGTCCTCTAGTAGGTTTATACAACCCTTGTCTTACTGTCCTCTGGTAGGTTTATACAATCTTTGTCCTACTGTCCTCTAGTAGGTTTATACAACCCTTGTCCTACTGTCCTCTAGTAGGTTTATACAACCTTTGTCCTACTGTCCTCTAGTAGGTTTCTACAACACTTGTCCTACTGTCCTTTAGTAGGTTTATACAACCTTTGTCCTACTGTCCTCTAATAGGTTTATACAACCCTTTTCCTACTGTCCTCTAGTAGGTTTATACATACCTTGTCTTACTGTCCTCTAGTAGGTTTATACATACCTTGTCTTACTGTCCTCTAGTAGATTTGTACAACTTTTGTCCTACTGTCCTCTAGTAGGTTTATACAACCTTTGTCCTACAGTCTTCTAGTTTGTTTATACAACCCTTGTTCTACTGTCCTCTAGTAGGTTCATACAGCCTTTGTCCTACTGTCCTCTAGTAGGTTTATACAACCCTTTTCCTACTGTTTTCTAGTAGGTTTATAGAACCCTTGTTTTACTGTCCTCTAGTAGGTTTATACAACCCTTTTCCTACAGTCCTCTAGTAGGTTTATACAACCTTTGTCCTACTGTCCTCTAGTAGGTTTATACAACCTTTGTCCTACAGTCCTCTAGTAGGTTTATACAACCTTTGTCCTACAGTCCTCTAATAGGTTTATACAACCTTTGTCCTACTGTCCTCTAGTAGGTTTATACAACTCTTGTTCTAATGTCCTCAAGTAGGTGTATACAACCCTTGTCCTAATATCCTCTTGTATGTTTATGGAACCCTAGTCCTACTGTCCTCTACTAGGTTTATACAACCTTTGTCCTACTGTCCTATTGTCCTCTAGTAGGTTTATACAACCCTTATTCTAATGTCTCTAGTAGGTGTATACAACCCTTGTTCTATTTTCCTCTAGTAGGTGTAAACAACCCTTGTCCTACTGTCCTCTAGTAGGTGTATACAACCCTTGTTTTACTGTCCTCTAGTAGGTGTATACAACCCTTGTCATACTGTCCTATAGTAAGTTTATACAACCCTTTTCCTACTGTTCTCTAGTAGGTTTATACAACCCTTGTCCTACTGTCCTCTAGTAGGTTTATACAACCTTTGTCCTACTGTCCTCTAGTATGTTTATGGAACCCTAGTCCTACTGTCCTCTAGTAGGTTTATACAACCTTTGTCCTACTGTCCTGTAGTAAGTTTATACAACCCTTGTCCTAATATCGTCTAGTATGTTTATGGAACCCTAGTCCTACTGTCCTCTAGTAGGGTTATACAACCCTTGTTCTACTTTTATTATTATTGGTTTAGAAGTTTGCATTTATGTGATGGTGTACTGCCTAATTATTATTATTGGTTTAGAAGTTTGGATGTATGTGGTAGTGTACTGTCTAATTATTATTATTGGTTTAGAAGTTTGGATGTATGTGGTTATTATTATTGGTTTAGAAGTTTGGATGTATGTGGTGGTGTACTGTCTAATTATTATTTTTGGTTTAGAAGTTTGGATGTATGTGGTAGTGTACGAGGATGGAAGATACTGGACGGACCGGACAAGGTTTCCAGCTGTGCAACATTCATCATCGAGATGCTCTCATGATCATCCAAATAAACTACGACCACGTTTTCTCATAATCATTCATTTCAACTATAGCAGACCATGTTTTCTAAGATTTTTGTGTTAAAATAAATTATGTTTCCCAGTTGTGTGTGAAACCAATTTTAGATATAACTGGATGATACAACATAGGGAATATTTTAATGGTTGAATTATTAAAAATATAAATGCATAGTCCGTATATGGAATTGATTTATTTCAAATGTTCTACAAGGTTTTTTTATTGCATTACAGCTGCCCAACGTTACATCCATTAGATAAGTTAGATAAGTTAAATAAATTAGATAAATTAGATAAATTAGATAAATTAGATAAATTAGATAAATAAGATAAATAAGATAAATTAGATAAAATTAGATAAATTAGATAAATTGCACTTTTTCAAGCTAAACATTTACATTTGCGCACAGTGATAAGCATAAAACTCTGAAAAAGGAACTTTTAGACTCAAGTGATGACTTTATTTAGTCCCAAGAGTATGGAACATGTCAATAGTACAGTCTAAACAGACCCATTCCACTTAATAAGTGATTTCAACTTAAATCAAATCATATATTTTACTTAAATAAGTTATTATAAGTAAACATTATAACACATTAAACAATTTAGGAAAGTTATTTGAGAAAATGAAGTCTTACTTTTTTCGGAGGAGAAATGGAGTTTTTAAACTGTTATTTGATGAGCCTGTTGTTAGCCATAATAAGCCAGGAGCTGCAAACCATAGCAGTGTCGAATGGGATGTATTGTTTAATCCAATCCTGTCCTTTTAGGATTTTGTCCTATTAACTATACGTTTTAAGTATTAGTTTTTTTAATATTAAAAATTAAAATATGATTGAATTTATCGCAGATAGTTTATCAGATAGTTCAAAGCTGATTTCACAGAGCCCCTCTGTTGACAATCAATTTAGAAAATTAAAGATTTTACAAAATAGTGAATTAAGAAGAAATTTAAAAAAATGTAAAAATCATATTTCAATAAATACGATTTTAAAACTTTTTGCAGTGCTTAGTATCCATTTAATTTTGATGCGGATCCGGATCCTGGATCCGCACTGGAAATTTTTTTTTATCCAAATCCGGATCCAGGTTATTTCTTTAAAATTTACAGATTTTTTTAACAAAGCAGAATTTTGAAATTTTTTGTCTTATATTTTTCGCTTACTTTTATGCTAAAACTTAATGAACTAATCAGAACTCAGGAAACTTTAATAATCTTTCTTTTTTAAATTTTAATTTTTAAATTTGGATTTTGAGTGGAAAAATTTGTTTGTTTTTTGGTTGATATTTTGCCCCTTGGATCCGGTTCCGGGAAGCCAAAATCTTGCGGATCCGGATCCTAAACATATATACATTTCTCTTTTAAAGTATCAATTTTCTTAAAAATAGAAACGATTACAAATTCAATTGCCCAGTTAGCTGTTCTATCAGTCAGCTATTGAGTACCACTTCAGTGTCTAACTATTTGTTTTGTAACAACACCAAATACACTTAAGGAAATTTTTATAAAGTCGTCTTCCTATTTTAAAGTTTTAAAGTTGATACACCTACCTACTTAGTTACTTACCCATCTATTCAGTTACTTACTTACCTACCTACTTAGTTACTTACTTACCTACCTACCTACTTTGTTACTTACCTAGACTTACCAACTTACCTTCTTGGTTACTTACCTACCTACCTAGTTACCTACTTAATTACTTACCTACCTACATAGTTACTTACTAACCTACCTAAGACTACCTACCTACTTAGTTACTCACTTACCAACCTACCTACATAGTTACTTAATAACCTACCTACTTAGTTACTTACCACTATGATCAATAAGTTTCGCCAAAATATTTTCTAGAAGTCTCAGCTCTAAAAAACTTTTGATGTTCACTATATTTATACTGGATACTATGTTGGCCTGGTTCGCATCAAGCAGATTGCTGTTGTGATGTAAGGACTGTTCTCCTGAAGCAGATTGCTGTTGTGATGTAAGGACTGTTCTCCTGAAGCAGATTGCTGTTGTGATTTAAGGACTGTTCTCCTGAGGCAGAGTGTTGTTGTGATGTAAGGACTGTTCTCCTGAAGCAGATTGCTGTCGCGATGTAAGGACTGTTCTCCTGAAGCAGAGTGCTGTTGTGATGTAAGGACTGTTCTCCTGAAGCTGATTGCTGTTGTGATGTAAGGACTGTTCTCCTGAAGCAGATTGCTGTTGTGATGTAAGGACTGTTCTCCTGAAGCAGAGTGTTGTTGTGATTTAAGGACTGTTCTCCTGAGGCAGAGTGCTGTTGTGATGTAAGGACGGTTCTCCTGAAGGTGGATTTGTTTTGTTGTCACAGCATTGGAATCTCTAGAATATCGTTTAGAGAAAGAGGTCACTTTGGAGGCTCGGTTACTCAAAAAATGTTTTTATTAGACGATGCAAAAACCAAATTTATGAACTTTAATGGTAGTTTTATGGGGTTAAGAAGGGAAAAATGAATGTTTGAAGAAATATGACATGTCCGGTCGAGAAAAGGCCATGAAGACGGCCCGAAAATTGTCAAAAATTTTGAAAAATATTAGCAATGATTCTAGAAGTATGTTTACCAGTTAGTTTGATATATGCCTTTAGATTATAAACAAAGCTGTAAAGCAAGATTGTAAAATTACAAAAATCTTAACAAAATTTGTCCAAAAGTCTCTGACATAGAATTAGATAAATTAGATAAGTAAAGCAAGATTGTAAAATTACAAAAATCTTAACAAAATTTGTCCAAAAGTCTCTGACATAGGACCAAAGAGATGCCGTTGATTATGCATCTCGTATGTAAAGAAAAGCCAGAAAACTCCTTAAAAGTCCTTCATACATATAAATACTTGATCTCTCTTTGCTTTTGATCGTTGTTAAATGGTCTAAATGGTTAAAGGGTCTAAAACAGACTTTGTTGGACCAAGTTCGGAACCAATATGAAATTTTTCTTGCTGTGACGAACGAAGCTGATATACTTCATTACAATTACACAAAGATCTGTTTGACATCAACTGATCTGAAAAATATAATGAACTTTCAACAAAAAATGTCAGGGCTGAGAGTTCTACTAGAACCCCTAATTCTTTTTAGAGAAACTTATTATCATACCTTGTACTGACCTACAGGGTGTCCCACGAAACATGACAGTTGGTAATATTTTGGAATGGTAATATTACATTGTCTATACGCAACATCCCCCTTACTGAACCTCTGACTAACTTTCCGACCTACTGCAATATCAGACCTTCGCCAGCTCTTTATTTTTGTATTATTTGATGGTTAGGTTAGGTTAAGACAATTTCTGGGCCAAGCGCTGCGGCTAGACAGGCTAGGGGCCGAGCGCTGAGGCTTCAAGTTCATATAGCAGCCGTAAAACCACGTGCTAGTAGGTCGGATGTGTAGTATAACGGATTTGGCGTAGGTCAAAAGTGGAGTATAGCGGATTTGCGAATGTCGAAAAATACACCACCGATCAAGATCGTAATTTGCTCCTTTTGGAGGAGCCTCAAAAAATGTACAGAAAACTTCGAGCTGACTTGTCCCTTTTGCTCCGGCCTGTATCCGCCCCCGTATATAATGACCTAAAGGCTAATACTTTTTAAATGTGACAATATAAATGTTAAAATTAGCCTTTACCTTAAATAAAGTCTTTTGAATAATCTGGTAAAGAAAGAAACAATGTTTACAGCTACAGGAAATAATGGCAGAATAGATTCTATACAGTTGTCATTATCATCCTTTGTTGGTAACCCTTTTTCTAGTTCAACATAAACTTTAGAGCTCATTCTTTGCCTCAAATGAATGAAATGTTTGTCTTTATTTTAGAAATAAAAGAAAATACATAGAATTGTTTCTAATTGATTATGAGAGCAAAGCCCAATAAATTTATTCGTCTTAACGACTTAAAACATTTAGGAAATGTTCTGCAAAGTGATAATTCAATGACCATAGATTACAATAAAAAACGAGCTATTTTCATTTCAAAAATTCATTCCCTTAACCAAGAATTTTATTTTAACAGTCCTGATGTTATTTTGAAACTGTATAATATTTACTGTTGTAGTTTTTATAGTATATTTACAGTTGAAAAGACTACTCTCATATCCTGAAAACAGATAGAATTGTAAATATACAGATAAAGATGTGTCTATATCTGTATATGATGCTGAATAGACTACTCTCATATCCTGAAAACAGAAAGGATTGTAAATATACAGATAAAGATGTGTCTATATCTGTATATTTACAGCTGAATAGACTACTCTCGTCACCTGAAAACAGATAGAATTGTAAATATACATATTCCTGAACTTTTACAGAATACATTTTACTCATCAAATAATGTCAAGATTTCTTCAGGGCAATCATAGCCAGGGATATTCATGTCCTGAAACAGCAAATAAGTTTACCTGTACATTGGACATCATCCATGAAATAGTTTGATTCTGAACCAAAAAAACTTGACCATGTTTGCTCCCCTCCACCAAACCCAAGTGATCTACAGACAACCGCAGCATCCAGGCTTAAAAATTCAGAGATTATACACAACATTTTTTGTAAATATGATTTGTTAGATTTGCAACATATAAACCTCTTTATATCATTCAAATTCCAGACATAAATCCTAGGGATATCAAGGTCAACCATTTGCCCCTCCTATGTTAAGGGTTAATGCAAAGGCTTTACTTTCGATCCCAGTTTCATAAACTAACAAATTCTAGTTATTCATATAGTTTAATGTCTATCTCTTGGAGTATAAATGAATGGGATTTATCAGTTTATATTTTATTGATACAAATACATCTGTTTAAGTTTATTCCTGTCTCATTACATTCTGTTAGGAAACCCATCATTCAGCAAGCTGCATTATATCTATCCATCCTACAATTCTAAGCTCATCAAGTCTGTTTAGTTCAGCTGCTGCTTCTGGTAGTCCAGCCTGTGGTTCAAAGCGGTCTAGAGGTAGTGAAACCATCCACAGAATATCTCAAGCATGGAGCTGCTCCTCAATGTTTTCAATGTTACCGCTGGTTCTGAGATATTCCCTGTAAGCTATCCTCAGACCTTCCGGTTCATTTAGAGCTCCCTCTCGTCCTGGATTTGGAAGGGGAGCTTTCCTAGGAGTAGATGCTTCGGAAGAGGAGATATTATCTTTAAGCTAAGGTAACAGGTGCCGTGACAAACTCCTGAAAGACAAACTCCTGAAAGACAAACTCCGGAAAGACAAACTCCGGAAAGACAAACTCCTGACGAGACAAACTCCTGAAAGACAAACTCCTGAAATTATGAAATTTTTCTTTGAATGAAATTTGATAAAATTCATAAACTTTAGAAGAAAAATCCGCAAATATTCCAGAAAAAATTCTCAAACTTTAGTACTTTGAATATGTTTCAAGCAGCAAAGTACTACAATGCTCGTGCAGGATCCGTGCGCCTTATTGATCAGAATAACTATACTTACACCAAGGAGAAGGAAATCGGAGCAAAAACATACTGGACTTGTTCAAAGTACAGGGATAAGGCAATACAATGTAAGAATATATATATATATATTGTGATTTTTCACTTGCATTTATCATTTTTACCTTTCTAGATTGCTGATTATTACGAGGAAGGAGTATTAAAGTTTACAGAGTCAATGACTGAGGATGAGTCTTGGGGAGAATATGAGGACGAGATAAATGAATTCATACACTATCTAGAGAAGACCTGGATTGGCCGAATATTGGGACGAAGTAATGCCAGACAATCACCCATGTTTAAGTATGAAATGTGGTCTATACATGTAGATATTTTGGATGGTTCCAAGTTTACATCTAATTCTGTTGAAGCATGGAACAATGCATGGAATTCCTCATTGGAAAAAAATGCATCAGTATGGAAAGTTGTCCAAGGGTTCCGTCGAGAGGATGGTATTGTCAAGGGTAAGCTCAGGGACATTATGTTTGGTAACCTACCCTCAGAGGATGCCAGAAGCAGAGCTGGAGGAAGGAAATCTAGAGATTCTCAAGTGCAAACCTTTCTTGGTCACTTGGACAATAATAATAGATTTGAGAACCTAAAACATTTAGCCGGGTTCCTACTTGGCAATGTTCCAGTTCTATAGATGTAGCTTATGTATAAACTTATCTGTGTATAATCTTTATGTAATTGGTACATTAGTAATTGTATAATTAGATTAAATATATATATTGTTTATTTTTTTATTTTCAGGAGTTTGTCTCGTCAGGAGTTTGTCTCGTCAGGAGTTTGTCTCGTCAGGAGTTTGTCTTTCAGGAGTTTGTCTTTTCAGGAGTTTGTCTTTCCGGAGTTTGTCTTTCAGGAGTTTGTCTTTCAGGAGTTTGTCACGGCGCCAAGGTAACATATCTTCTAATAACTCTTGTAGAGCATCTCTCAATCTCCTCTGGTCTCTTCCTGCTGCATAGATCAACTGTTCAGCTGTTTAAACTACTCCAGGGTGATAAGGGTAATCTGGGGCTGGAGGTTGTATCAGAGGAGTCCCGGGTTCAGGAAAGTCCCTCAGGAGTTCTTCCAGTTCCAAATCTAGGTCATCCATTTCTACAGCGTCCTGTATTGGAGCAGTCTGTAAGGAGCAGCTTCCTCGAGGATCTCCAGTGATCCGTAACCCTCCTGATAGCTCAATCATGTCTGGAGTACGGTAGATCTCCTCTTCATGAATCCTTAAGATCTCTTCTTCTCCCGAAGTCATCGGTCTGTACTGATCATCTATCTGTTGATCACCAATAAGGTCTGAGATTCGAGTAAAGCTCTCGGTAGATTGTGGAGTAGCTGTAGGTGTAGTAGCCAGAGAGTTCAGTTCTTCTCCCTCTGTGTATTCTGATCACTCTGCATCTCCAGTGTTTCTACCTATAGAAACACCTGGAGCATTGGTTCCGTTGGGTAGTTGAACCAGCTGCACTGGGTTTAGACTCAGATGTCTTAGGTTTACCAAATGCTCTATATCTCCAGTGGACCTCTCATTAGGACCAGCTCGAGCATTTAGAGTCTTATCAGACATCTCTTTATCCATAGATTACTCTATACCTCCAGTGGACCTCTAATTAGGCCCAGCTAGAGTATTTAGAGTAGTTGAACTAGCTGTAGATCGGAAAAGTTAATCTATATCTCCAGTGGCCCTTTCATTAGGCCCAGCTTGAGTATCTAGAGTAGTTGAACTAGCTGTAGATCGAAAGAGTTACTCTATACTTCCAGTGGACCTCTCATTAGGCCATGCTTGAGTATCTAGAGTAGTTGAACTAGCTGTAGATCAGATGAGTTACTCTATTGATATGTTGAGAAACTCAGAGGATATACTGTTGTAGTAGATGATGAGAATGAGGCTGTCCAACCTAAGTTGTAGTAGATGACAAGAATGAGGCTATCCAACCTCTGTTGAGGTGAATGATGGGAATTATTTAGTTGTCTCCTGACTGTCTGTTAGCTGTCCATGTAGTACAAGTCCCCAAGCCCTGATTATAATACAGCAGAGCTTAGCTCATACATGCTTTTATTATCTGGGATCCTGGAGTGTACTAACTAGTCTCAGACTCTCATCGATTGCTCCGACTCGGAGACAGAAACAAAGGGTTTTAACAAGGGATGGAGCGCAAACATATTCTAAATTTTACTGATTATAGGCAAATAATTCTTAACATCATGTTTGGATACAAACTTTGTTAAAATGATGTGTTTATATTATTTAATTTAAGGTCGGCCCTGTATTTCTAATGTAATGTGAACACAATGGAGAGAAAAATGTTTCATAATTCCATAAATTTAAATATTTACTTTAAACAGTTTTAATGTTAGTTTGAGAGCAAATATACTTCTTATTTGAAGAAATTTGCACAAAAAATTTTAACTTTACAGCCATCCTGTTGATTTATTTTTTTAGTATGAAACTATTTTGATACTATTTTAGGATACTAATCATATTTACGGACATAATTTTAGAGTCTACTTTTTTGGTTTTTAATAAAGTTAAAAACCTATCTTTACAACCATAAAAAAAATATTCGACATTAAACTTTTAGCTTTATTTAATGGTTGAGTAAAACCAAAAGTTTAATTTGATGTTTTCTGAAGATGATTATTATTTCTAAATTAATTTAAATTCTTACCTGTCCCACGCATCATCACAAACTCCTTCATATCTTTGATTCACTTGATTCCAGACATATACTGTTCCTTCTTTGGAAGTTGCTCCACCAGTCAGCTTTACAAGAATGACTAAAAAGGCCTTTTGAGAATATTCATTGAATTTAGAATTTTTTAACATTTAAATTTTTTTCTTATTACCCTGGCCACATGTGTAACTTCCAAAGGAGTTTACACAAGCTCTTCCAGCGCAGTTGTGAGAACCTAGATTTAATGAAACTGATTACTCTCATGTCATAGAGATTTCTAACTGTAAAGTCTGCTGCATATAAAATAATAAAAGTTTTTACAGGTTTACACCGTCAGGAACTAAAATTAATGAATTTGAGCTAGGTTGCTTAGCTACCGATGTGAAGATTACATCTGTAAGAAATGGCCAAGTCCTGAATCACCAACACAAACTACGTTGTTTGAACCATCTCTATAGACCTGGCTCAAATACATTAAATTATTGAATTTGGTGTTTGTTATGAGTAATTGTTTTTTTTGTATTAAGTCTAACATTTAGCCTACTTTCATAAAATCTAAAAAATTGAGAAATTCAGCCAGTGAAGAAAAAGAACTTTAAAATAAAACCACTCAGTACTCCTTGTAGTAATGGCAGATGTATCCATAATTTTTCTTGCCACAAATTGTGAGAAACTTATACCAAGAACTGGAGTGTAGACACATAATCTTGAGTTTTCTATTTCTTCAATTCAGTTTTGAAAAAAAATAAATGAAATTTATTATTTTATTGACAAACAGATTGCAAGTTGCATGTAAGGTTATCACCATTAACAATCCAGTCTCCCCCTAACCCTGCGCCAGTCTCCCCCTAACCCTGCTAGCAACAACACATCTCTGTGACTCTCCCTCTCCTAGCCTGATACCAGCTGACCCAGCTGTTGCTATGGCGGGGAGTTTAAAACACAAACAATGAGAATTACGCATAAACTCTTGGAGTTGTATAGGGAAGGAGTGGACCTAGGACTGGATATCAAGCTTAACCTGTGGACTAAAGATGAGTCAGCTGCGAAATATTGCACTGGCATTCAAAGTCTAATCTGTGTCTATCATATGAATCATTTATATAGAAAATAAATAATGTAGTTTTTCCATTTATGAAAGTTGTAAACTTGCAATACAAATGTAATATTTTAATCTCTGCTACAAAATAAATATTTAGATTTAAAAAAACATTAACAAGACTTTCTGAAATTAAAAAAAGGAGGTTTACATGAGGTTTAACAGGTACCATTGTTAATCGGACACTCTACTTTAAAAGTGGAGAATTACTTTAAAGTAGTAGAAAATTTGAATTGTTACCTAGTTTACATTCGTCAATATCACTACAGCCAGACAACGAACTCCAGCCAGTAAAGCCATCCGTACAGGAGCATTCAAAACTTCCTATGGTGTTCAAACAGTCCAAGGTATTTGGTCCGCATGCTGTACTATTACCTCCTATAAAGCATAGGTATTGTAAGCAATTAGGAACCCCACAAGACCTGAAGTCCTCATGAGGAGGCCTTGATTTGCCTCTGCAGTACCACAAACGGATGCCCTCCGGGCTACGGACAAGAGAGAGATAGGAGACCGTGAAAAGACCAGTAAGGCATGGTTGAGGGCCTCTCTCAATATCGGCCTTATCATATTATTTATGAGTTCTCATGCTCTCCTGAGGTCCTTATGCTGCTATCTATCTGTCTAACTATCTCTCCATATAATCTGATACTGTCAGCTGTCTTAAAGCTGTTTCCCATCCCACCCCCCTTCCCCCCTTCCTGGCTAATTAAGACCCCCTGAGGGTGCCTTAGAAAGACTTCAGGACAGCATCCTGACGGGGCTTCACAATGCGGTGTCAAGTCAGGACGCCATCAAAATAAACAAATACAAATTGTAATTAAAAAAATTTATTTATTTTAAAAACATATCAAAAAATTATCGTTAATTTTTGTTATTATTAAAATTGATTTCCCCTTAAAAATATTGTTTCTCACTCGATGAGGAACAAAATGTTTTCAAATAAAAATTAAGAGTGGGGATGGGGTCTCTTTAAAAACTAAATGTAGTTGGGGTAGTGAGGGTAGTTCCTGTACAGATTTAGTATCAAGGGTGGAAGTGGGGTCTCTCTAAAAACAGACGGTAGTTGGGGTAGTAAGGGTATAGCCATTCAGATTTAGCTTCAAGGGTGAGGGTGGGGTCTCTCTAAAAACAGACGGTAGTTGGGGTAGTAAGGGTAGTTGCCATTCAGATTTAGCTTCAAGGGTGGGGTCTCTCTAAAAACAGACAGTAGTTAGGGTTGTTGCCATTCAGATTCAGCTTCCAGGGTGGGTGATGGGGTCTCTCTAAAAACATATGGTAGTTGGGGTAGTAAGGGTAGTTGCCAATCAGATTCAGCTTCAAGGGTGGGGATGGGGTCTCTCTAAAAACAGACGGTAGTTGGGGTAGTTAGGGTAGTTAAACCTGGCAACCATAACTACCATCAGATTTTGCTTCAAGGGTGGGGGTGGGGTCTCTCTAAAAACAGATGGTAGTTGGGGTAGTACAGGTAGTTGCCATTCAGATTTAGCATCAAGGGTGGAAGTGGGGTCTCTCTAAAAACAGACAGTAGTTGGGGTAGTAAGGGTAGTTACCATTCAGATTTAGCTTCAAGGGTGAGGGTGGGGTCTCTCTAAAAACAGAGAGTAGTTGGGATAGTTGGGGTGGTTAAGCCCAACTACCCTAACTACCATCAGATTCTGCTTCAAGGGTGGGGGTGGGGTCTCTCTAAAAACAGGCAGTAGTTGGGGTAATTAGGGTAGTTGCCATTTAGATTCAGATTTAGCCCCAAGGGTAAGGGTGGGGTCTCTCTAAAAACAGATGGTAGTTGGGGTAGTGAGGGTAGTTAAACCCAACTACCCCAACTACCGTCTATTTTTAGAGAGACCCCACCTCCACCCTTGATGCTAAATCTGAATGGCAACTAACCTTACTTAACCAACTACTATCTGTTTTTAGAAAGACCCACCTCCACCCTTGAAGCTGAATCTTAATGGCAACTACCCATACTACCCCAACTACCGTCTGTTTTTAGAGAGACCCCATCCCCACCCTTGAAGCTGAATCTGATTGGCAACTAACAATTTTTTAAAATCTTGTTTCTGGCATTCATAACACTTTTCGACCTTTACTATCCTCACCAACCGCCTTCTGAAGGGTGCACATTTCGTAGTAAAAAAAAAGGCATTTTATATGTGCAGGGGAGCAGCCTCAAAGGCATTGGCAGAGATGACGATGGTGTACTTCATGGCATCAGCATCGGTAAGACAACAGCTCTGATACGCTAGACAACATCTCCTTTTTTGATAAGGGTGTTTTTACCGAAGATGACAGCACTGACATTGTCGGGCTCCAAGTTTGAGAGCCATACCCTTGAGTCTAGAGCTGAACTCCACCATCTCCTTGGCCTAATACAACAAAATTTTAATAATTTTTACTAATATAAGAAAGAAAAACTATCTTATTAATTCCATGCAAAAATAATGTTGATTTATTGAGTGTTAGGGGGGGGGGGGTTACAGTCCTTATCATTACATAAATTAAGCGCATCAATAAATCTGGGGGAGTTAGAGTCCACACCATTACATAAATTAAGCGCATTATAAAATCTGCTGATTCTTAAGAAAGTTATGGATAGTTTAAGGAAAAAAATTATCTTGAATCAATCTCTGTACAGCAATGTAAAGAGACTAGAGAATTATGAAATGGGATATATATTTTTTATAAAAACTCCCCCGCCCCCACTTTCCCACTATTTTTAGTTAAAAAAACTTCAAATGAAGGGGTCTTTCCTTGAGACGGATTTCTGCCCCCCCNATCAATTTTGAAATAGAAGATGGGTGCAAAGCACCCTAAAAAACTGTATTTATAATTCAACCATTGGCAATGTATCTGTTTAGAATTCATATTCTTAGATAAATTATCGTAAGAATTTGTTATTATTTATTTAGAATTTCTTTAATTTATAAATGGCAAAACTTTTTAAATACATACTTGTCGTTTCAGTTCATTTGAACAATAAGATTATTTACTTTAATTTTTAGTTCATATTTATGCACTTACCGCTTACTTATTAATTATAAGTTATGTTGATTGTTGAGTTGAACATTGAAAGTAAAAGATAAGAAACAAACAACATATTAACTACAACTGACTGTGACGTCACCCGGGACGCTGTACATAGGAAGCATAGAGCTCATGGCTGAAAGATATCGATCGCAATACTCCTGGCGGTTGAATTAGGAACTAAATGTGTCATTTGTTATCTTTTATATTTTCAATTAAAATAAAACACTTATATTTTCATTATTATTATTATTACTATTATTATTATTATTATTATTATTATTATTGTTATTTTCATTATTATTATTATTAATATTGAGTAAGATTGAGTAAGATTATCTGCACGAATTGCCAAATTTTTACATTTTTCCTTTTAATGGTAATCATAGACATGGAGATCAAGTTACTAAACCAGGATGTTTGTGTCCCCAAGATTCTAGGGGTAAATTACCCCAAGGATTCTAGGGGGGGTAAGTAATGCCAATTACCCCTCCTTATTTATGCCACTGGTCCCAGGTAACCCCCCCCCCCAAGAAAAAATGTTAACATTCACATTAGGATGTTTCTTTTTCAGGGAAGGCTTGTCTAAAAATCTTAATCTCTTGGTTTGTTTTTTATTTTGTTTATATACAAAAAATGTAAAAACTTCTTTTTAGTACCTTGCTTGTACTGTTAAGCAGGTTTACTTATGAGTTAAAAAGTTAGGAAAGATAATCAACAAAAAGATTATCACTAGAATAATGGGTTCAAAATCAAAACCTAGTTTTTAGTAAAGCAATAGCTAAAATTACCACCAAGCCATGATTTCTTTTGTTTGCATCCCTTGCATATAATAAACTACTCCAACCACATACAACTGTGCTATAGTGAATTAACTTGCCTAAATTCCATCATTAGACAACTACAAATATAATAAATATTACAAGATTAACTTCCCTGCAAGACTGAGTAGGCTGTCACATTCATTTATATCTTCACAGTATGGCTGAGCTACATCTTTCCTTATATCAAAACAATATTTGAACCACATTAGTTCACTTTTATTAGAGTTTTTGAAATCTTTATGTCTAAATATGTCAGATTTATCAATATGAAAATTATGTTTCAATTCTACAGCATTAATTCAATACGTTATTTCTTTAAAATTAGATAAAATGTTAATCAGAAGAATAAACAAATTTTGAGCATCATAATTAACTTCTAAAATATATTTGTTATTTTTTAACAAAATTTGGTCAAACTTTCTTAAAATTGAATAAAACATTTTTGTGCATGGAAACCCTAATTTTGGCATCTTGTACAATTGTGATATTTCCATTAAAATATGTATACATATATATATCATAAGTATACAATCAGTGGTGCAACTAGGGGGAACCAAGTTTGGACCCCCCCCCCAAGCAAATTTTGCCCCCCCCCCCTCTCTTAACTCCAGCATGATCATCAGCCCTACAATTACGGGCTATATAGTGGACAAATATGACTAGTGGGTGAATTACAAAAATAAGTTCTGTAGACTGTAATAGAGGACTTTAAATGCAAAGTGAATAGGACTAACAGACACTAAAAGATCAATGAAAACCCACTAGATGAACAAAGGTTTTTTAACTGCTTCGCACACATGTTTAATTTACCAATAGTTTTCAGTATATATTTTTTAAACAAAAGAACAAGCTATAGATATTATAAGAATTTGGTATATTTTTGAGCACAGAGCCAACCCTTCAACAATTTAAAATGCTGTTTTAATTACTTCAAATCTTACAATTGCAACACTTTTCGACAGGGGGCCCCCTCTAACCCCCACCCTAGCCCCTCCAAATTTAATTTCTCCTTCTCCTTCCCCTTACAAGAGTGCTAGTTGCGCCACTGAAGATAATAGTTAAAATATATACTTGCAGTACAATCCAGTTGTACAGTCTTCATCATTTAAACAACCAACTTCATTGTGTCCACACACTTTGTACCGCTGAAACAAATGTTTTTATTTTTTTATTCCTAATCTGTCAAAATGGTGTTTTCCTTATTCATTATAATGTATACAATATTAAACAAAAAATGCCGAAATAAAAATGGGTTTGTAAGTAAACAATCACAGATTTCAAAAAACGGATTTGAATCACTGTTAAAAATGTTTTGACAATAGTTGATTAAAAGATAGAGCTTTAAGCGGATAAAGCCTTTTTGTATTTTACTGTATTTATATTGTGTCTTTTGTAGTGAATGTCTAGATTTCAGAGAAGCAACCAATAGGTCTTGCTAGGCGAGATACAGAGTGAGAGAGAGAAAATGGCAAACTAGAGAAACTTTAGCCAGGGGTGTATCCCCTGCACACAAATGGAAAAGAAAAAGCGGAACTACAACTAACATTTATCTTTTAACGCTACATATAAACCTGAAGAATGGAGGTTTTTTACCTTCCTAGATCCAGATTTTACTACTTACATCTTTAAATATACTCTGTAATAACAAGGTTATTAAGTATCCAAACTTGTCGGAAAGATGGTGATTCTTTTTATTGAATCTAGTTCTTTGTGTAAGCATCAAGGGAATTCATAACAGTCAGGTTCTTATACAACTCTCTCCAGTTACTTGCGGCTGACCAGAACCCTCTATGGAATAAAACATGGCAGTACTTGGAAAAAGAAGAAAATAATAGTGCAGCGAAGGAGGGGTCTCACTATGCTTCACTTCCCCATTCCTCTTGCCAGAAATAAGGATCCTAAAGCAATCCTGATAGGTTGTGCAGCATGCACTATAATACTGGTCTACACTCTGCTGGCTGCAAGGAAAAGATTGCTGTAGATGAGGACATATTCTGTAGCACTGTCCAAGATGAACTTACAAACCCTGCTTAGCTGTGATTTTTTTTTGTCAAACCAGTAAAAATATATAATCAATATCAATAGCTGGATGAAAAAGCTAATAAATTATTCCTCAACATAGCATGGCAGAGAAATTTGACACCTCTGCATGGAAAACAAATAGTAAAATATTAGGGAGAAAGAAATTCAGAAAAATGCATCAACATGCAATTTTCCCCTGTCTACAAGGGATAGATATGCACTGATCTAAAAGAGTGGAACAGAAACAGATGTATGATCAGCGAAAACAATTGTTGACATTGTATCTTTTTTCTTATGGAACAAGACCAAGCCATTATTTAGGTCTTAGTTTGGCACTTTTGATGACCTAACCTGTGTATTTTCCTAAATCGGAAAATTAAGGCCAGTCTAACTAAATAAATCAATCATTCAGCCAGGGGCGCAACTAGGACTTTTGCTAGGGGGGGGCAATATATTATTTTGTTAGGGTTTGGGGACCCCCCCTCTCAGGTGCTAGGGGAGGGCGCGCGCCCGGCCGCCCCCCCCTAGTTGCGCCTCTGCATTCAGCTTTTAAGATTAAGAAAACCTACAGCTTTGTGTTTATTTGCAGGTTCTATTTTGATTGAGGAAAATGATCAAAGCTAATATTTAGAAACAGAAGGGTGTCAAAAATAGTCAAGCATTTTGAGAGGTTGAAGTTTACAGCAGATTAAAGGCAAATTTTTAACACCAGAGAGGAAAGGAAAATCAATAGTGTTTACAATTGCTTTATTTTGTGTATTAGATAGGACCAAACTTGTTACCTTGTTGCACACCCTATAGCAGCAGTTATCAGTTGGTTTGTAGAAGGTTAGAGAATGCTCAGGGAACAGATTACTCCATAGAAAAAACAGGTTCAAAGGGTATCCATTGTGAATATAATATGCAATTCTTTAACCCTATTCAGACTGTAGGGGGGGGGGGCACTGGGACTCCCCTGTTTTTTTTAATAACTCAAAAAGAATTGGTGTAAATTTTTATTTATTATGAGTCCTCATTAGACCAATCAAGTCATTGGATTTCAACATTTTATGCTCTTTGGAAAGCCTACCACACAAGGAAGCAGATTGCACAATTTATGCCAAGAAATTTTGCGTAGATTTTTGCACACACCTTAAAAGGGAATTTGCACAATTTTAGTTTTTCTTTAACAAACCATTAGGTTTTGAAAATTTGCAATTATTTTTGCATATTTGAATTTGCTGGGTCAAGGGCTTCTCAAAAATGCCTAGTTTATCATGGTTTGTGCACAGTTTGTTTTTGCACATTTTTTGCAAAAGAACCTGATTTTGCAATAAGTATTTTAAATCTTGCAAATTTGCAAACTTGATTCCAGATTATTAATGTTGTGTAGTGATGCGAAATAACAAAGATATAAACGGACTGAAGATATATATTTGTCTAACTTACAACATGGATTTGATAAATATATTTGGTTTGGTTCTCCCAGCTTCCAGGCTTTGAAGAGGATATTTCAGGGTCTCCACAACATTGAGGTAATAAACTCGAATTTCTCTTCGAGAGTTTTGACAAACTTGGAAAGGAGAAGACTGTCGAGGTGAGAATCTAACCTTCTTCTCACCTTATGGGCACTCTGGAGAGTTATTGGAGAGGTTGGAGCCAACAGAGCCCGAGTCAATGGAGCCAGAGTCAACGTCAGGGAGGTTGCTGAGGAGTTACAGAGTGATCAGAAAGCACAGATTTAAGCTGGTCCACGGAGACGGAGTCACACATTGAATCAATCTGAACAAGAAAATACTTGGAGAGAACTAGATAGGGTCCTCTGTACAGCGAAGGTTTAGATGCATCCTCCCTGATGAAAACATGAGAACAGGAGGCTATACTGGAAGGGATCTCATCTGGTTTCAAGGCTCTGGAAGCTCCGGACTGTCCAGAAATTCTCCGGGCAACACCAGCAGAAAACCAAAAGAGATTCAGAGGTGGAGACAGCAGAATCTTCTCTGGGAACCCTCCCAAGAAAATTGCTGAAACTGACTCTCAAAATCTTGCTGGTAACCCTACTATGGTGTTCTGGTTTGAAAAACGCAGGGACCTAGTCAATACCAATTTCAGGTACGTTGGCGAGAGAGATTATTTAATAGTCAACAGCAACAAGCAAACTTTGGGGTCACCAAAATGTAGCGACGCTAAATAACAAAGATATAAACGGACTGAAGATATATATTTTGTCTTACTTACAACATGGATTTAATAAATATATTTGGTTTTGTTCTCCCAGATTCCAGGCTATAAAGACAACTTTACAGGGTCTCCAAAGTTGATTCCAAGGGCTTTCAAAGCATGTATCATATGTTATAAATTTGTATCACAGTAAGGAAATAAATGGGGGTCACTGTGACTCCCCCCCCCCTCCTGTCTATTTTGGGTAAACCAGACGTCAGTCTGAATATGGTTAAAAGTAGGGTCACTTAAAATTATGTTAAGAGACACTTAAATAAGTAAATTGACTAATACAAGATACCTTGGAAAGTAAGTGCTGTCAATACATAAGTCATTTCCACACTTTAGCCAACCAGGGTTCTGGAAATGATAAGTATACATCATGCAAATACATTTTTCAATAGTTTTTTAAACTTATAATCCAGGAGGTTAGATTTTTAAGAAATTGTAAAAGAGATTTGCAAGCAGTGAATTACTTTTACGAGTCGGTTTTAATATTGGTCCAAACTACAATAAATCAGATAAAGCAGATGTTCAATCCATATTTAAAGGAAAAGGAAATTTAAAATTTTGTTTAAAAGTGTAACTGAAATGTGAAAGTCTAAATTCATAAACATTATTTCACAATATCAGATAACAGCAGATTCCACTACCTGACAATCTGCATCAGCTTCACAGTATCCCTCCCCTTCAGCACAGGGATGGTCTGGAGTACACTCTACCTGACAATCTGCATCAACTTCACAGTATCCCTCCTCTTCAGCACAGGGATGGTCTGCAGTACACTATACCTGACAATCTGCATCAACTTCACAGTATCCCTCCCCTTCAGCACAAGGATGGTCTGCAGTACACTATACCTGACAATCTGCATCAACTTCACAGTATCCCTCCCCTTCAGCACAAGGATGGTCTGCAGTACACTCTACCTGACAATCTGCATCAACTTCACAGTATCCCTCCCCCTCAGCACAGGGATGGTCTGGAGTACACTATACCTGACAATCTGCATCAGCTTCACAGTATCCCTACCCTTCAGCACAAGGATGGTCTGGAGTGCACTTTTATACCTGACAATCTGCATCAGCTTCACAGTATTCCTCCCCTTCAGCACAAGGATGTTCTGGAGTACACTCTACCTGACAATCTGCATCAACTGCACAGTATTCCTCCCCTTCAGAACAAGGATGTTCTGGAGTACACTATACCTGACAATCTGCATCAACTTCACAGTATTCCTCCCCTTCAGCACAAGGATGTTCTGGAGTACATTATACCTGACAATCTGCCTCAATTTCACAGTATTCCTCCCCTTCAGTGTAAGGATGGTCTGGAGTGAACTATATACCTGACAATCTGCATCAGCTTCACAGTATCCCTCCCCCTCAGCACAAGGATGGTTTGGAGTACAGGGGGGTTCACAACAATCATCTTCAGCATCCCATAGTCCACCCTCACCCCAGTTCCTGATAGATTTATTATAAGTATCTGAATTATAAATACTGAGGAAATTAGTAAAATTCGGACTTACTGCACACAATTATTGTTGCCACATTTCAGCATTCCAGTGCATTCATTGTCATTGTTGCAATCTCCTTCCCAAAGTCCGCACAGCGCTCTACCACTAATTGATCACAAGAGGTAAACTTAGTCTCCAAAACATACAGGGTTACCCATACATGATGAGACTTTAGAGAGGACAGAATTCACCCAATTTTTCAGTGTAGGCTTTCTGTTAGTTTTGCAAGACTAAAGGCAATTAAGTTTGAAGACTTATATTTCAATTTCAGCTTTAGGTCATCATTAAAGTCTCATTCTCTGTGAATAACCCTAATGAAAACGTTGTATATTAGACATTTTATAATATCAAAACAATTCTGATAAAAATGGTGCTCAATTTTTGAAATTTAAGAAACAAGTTAATAAACAGTATACCTTTAGGTGATTGTACGGTTGACAAGGGGTTTTCATTCATAAATGAATCTTAGAAATGATTATTATTAATTTGATTTATGAGATTTAAATGTATTTCTACAAAGAAAGTCTCTATCAAATTGCAAAGAAAGAAAAGAAAAAAATTTGGACCCCTGTTTTACCTCTGAATACGTTAAACATTTTGAAAAGCACAGAATTATCAGTAAAGAAAGTGAAAAACATTTTAAGTATACAAAACCATTTCAGCAATGATCCATACCTTCCAGTTCTGAAAAAAATAAAAAATTATATTGAACAAATTTTTTGTTTTGTTGATTTGTTTTCTTTTACCTTCGACAGCAACCCTCGCTGCCACTAAAAAATTTTTTTTTTTAAATATTAACAATTCTATTCTAATATTGTGGCGGCTATGAAAGTCGTCTTTCATTTGAAGAACCTCTCGCGGCAAGGATGAAGGAAGTGGGAGTTTCCAGATAGCCACAAGATATATTTATTCATATTAACTTTGTAACTTTAAAAATCAAATATAGTTAGTCGTAAGTAAATACTCGTATTATTGCTATCCGCCAAAATATATTATATCATTTATCTATAATCTAAATACATACATCTATATCATAAAACAAGACATTCGTATATGCTTATGTTCCCTATAGCCAGCCAAAATAGCTGGACCGAATTGAATGATTTTTTTTAGGGAACCCAGGGGTAACATAGGCTAAAAAATTCAAATATTTTTTTAAAAACCATTTTTATTTTTTTTTAATTCCATGGGCAATGCTGCGCCTGGCACTTCATCTAGTATTATATAAAGTATCTAGTAATATCTGTTGTTTGTCTGTTTATATCACTCATCCTAACTCGAAAACTCCTTTACCAATTTGCCTAAATTTGAATTGGGGAACCAAGGGGGACTTTCTGTTTAAAACTTTGTTGAGTTAATTGAAATGTAAAAGGAAAGATTAGTGACTAGGCAAGAGATGGAGTTCCAAAGCTATTATGTATATTGTGTATGTGTAAAGCAGTAATTTATGTTTCTTTATCTGTTTGTTTGTTTGTGTGTCCGATTATAATTCATAAACCCCTGTCTTAATTTTTTATGTTCATGTTCAAATGTGCCTTTGTTGTGAATTCCTGCGTTCAACAAAACATGATCCCAAAGGAAATTACGCTTAAGGACCATTTAATGGAGGGAAATTTGAAATGATGTGTACATTCCCTTTTACGAAAATTTCATTATTATAAAATGACTTTTGGTGTAATTTTAAGTGACCCTGGTTTTGGAAATTGGTGTGTCTGATTCAGAACAGCACTTTTTTAATCTGTTAAATGCTCAAGGATGTCTGACTTATTTTATTAGTCTACAAAAGTGTTAAAAAATAATAATATTTAATTTCTTTAAGTGGCTGAAAAAAATGTCTTTTCTATTTTAGAAAACCACTGTGGACAAATAATTGGTATTATTGTGAGACACCAGTAACGTCAGTTGAGTTTAATTAATAGAAAATACTCTTAAGAAGTTGATGCTTGGGAAAAAGCCTTTAGGAAAGTACCTAACATAGAATTAATAATTACCTGCATATAATATCCCACTCATCATAACTCCCAGCATCAATGAATATTCTTATACCATTATCTAATCAGAATATTTATTATAACATTTTTCTTTTAAGTTTGCTGGGCGGTCTTCGAACAAAAATTTTGAACTTTTTGTTGGAAAGATTGAATTTTACTTTGATGATTAAATTATCATTTTCAGACAGATCACATGCTATTTTATAAATAAAAGAAGGAAATAGCTCGCTAGAATCATGAAAAATAGAAATAGAAGAATCCTGAGAGGTGAGTAACCATGCACTAACTTAAGATGCCATTTTTTTACACTACTGGCTGCAATACTCAGCCGATTATGAAGACTGGACTACTGTCAAAAATGTCACATTCTGGATCAATAAAGCCAACAACTCCCCATTTTGTAATGCAGTGCAACTCCAATGAGAAAAAACCATTAATTCCATAGAGTGGGAAACCCTCTAAAATCAGAGAAAAGAAGGGATTTTCTATGCTTTGGGAGTTCCTACCTATTTGTTTGTTAATAAAATTGTCAAAATATGTTTTATCATAATCCAAAATCCCATTATCCAGGTAAGCCCATAGTACTTTTTAGTTTTATGCCTGTCTCAAAATAACTATTTAGGAGAAAGTTAAAAAAGCAGAAAAAGTGCCATGTTTAAGTAGATTATTATAATAGAAAATACTTATACTAAAAATCAGTCAACCCTGTGAGTAAAATTAAAAGAACTACAAATATATTTTGAAATAGAAGGTAAATAGAGCCTGCATAATTAAGAATTGCCGAAAGCTACACTGCTATAAGCATTTCTGAGAATTAATATGTAGTAACAACTTTTTACGGAATGGTTTCGTATTACATAATCTTGCCTAATTACGCCTTAATTACAAAAACTTTTGTATATGTAATAAGGACGTAATTTCGAGTAATGCTCCTGCAAAAGTGAAAGAAAGAGTTACACATAATTAAGCGTAACATAATTACAACTGGAAAGCCTCCTTCCTCTCCACCCCATCCTGACCTTAAAATAGCTTGATCAACTGTGTGCAAGGTCAGAAATTCCCGGTTGTACAACAAGAAAATCAAAACTGAAAAATTCTGGTTTTGACAAATTTTCAATTGTTTTTAAAAATTATCAGAATCAGGGACCTGTCAACAGAAGGAAAAAAGGAAGAAGATAGAAACGATGACAAGAATATGAATCAAATCAGAATTTTTCTGTATAAACTGTAGCCAATTATAAAATTAAAAATTAAAAATAATAAATTGTTAAAAAACATGCAATTTTATGTGAGCCTGATGAAAGTACTATGTGAGTTTTTACAAACCTTTTTGGTGAAATAAATTGATCTAATATCTTAAACTTTTTTTATTTCCAACTTATACACTACACCTCAAGTATTAAAAAGGTTATTTAAAGTATCAAAATATATTTTCTCTGAGAACAATCAAGTTTTTTTGAAGCAGTTGAGAAACTCTATACCACAAAGGTATATTTACAGTTAATATTTTAAAATTAGAATATTATACCTGTATCCACAAGAGTTGATAGCATTGCCCCCTCACAAGTTCCATAAACATTTCCTAAATTATTTTTTATCAATATTGTCAGATAGCATTATTATCAGTATTTTAGTTATTTTAGATTATTTTTATCTATAGCTTTGAATTTTCCTTATTTAAGTGTAAATTCCTTGATCCCCTTAGCATCTTTTTTAAATTGATCTTTTGCTCCATATATTTTCACAAGAGAAGAAACGGAACTGTATAATTTATTGATGTCTAAGTACACAGTAACAAATTACATAACATGGAAATTGCAGAAAATATTTGGTTTGGATTTCAATCTTAAAGACAACAATGTTAGTCCTCTTGTGGTATCCTCGTACCACAGAACGTGCAATAAATTGGTATCTTAAAATTCACACTTTAATGAGATTTTGCTCAAGTACTCTAACTTGTTTCATCTACCATTTGTGTAACCTGAAGACATTGCAGATCGGGTTAGTCCTATCATTCGGGCCTAACTCCTCATGCGCCGTCTATATCTTTGCAACCTGGCATTACAATACTTCAGCTATCTCCATATATAGAAATAGCCTTATATGTCTGAATGCACTTGCAAATTTAAACACCCAAGTAATAAAGTCATTCTTGCAACATATATACGTTTATTGATACATTTAATCATACACTTATAAATGCATACATAAATCACATAATAATAATATTAGCATAACATTAGCTTTAGATCCCTTGGTATTCTTAAGGTCTCTTAGCTCTATGTTTAAGCGCTATCTCAGTTAGGACACCGAGCCTAGCGTGTAGGACAGATATGACATGTAATCCATCTACTAGTCTTATATCTGTATCATTGTAGGTTCCTTGATCAACTCGTTCCTGTATGATCTGGAGCAAGTTCCATACTTGGTTCTCAAGCCGGTCCTTTAACCCTTTCCTGGTCGGGTTAGGGAATAGCCTGAACTCCTGCTCTATAGCCTTCCCTGTGTCCCATATATCAACTTTAGGGACATCAGTATGCTGTGGTGAGCTGGTGTCCCTGCTAAGGGACAATACACTCCTGAGCCCATCGTTCAACCTTGATAGGCTCTGGACTGCATCTCGGAGTACCTGTGTAGTATCCTCTTCAGCATCCTCTGGGACATCCTCAGTCACATCTTCATCCTCTGAAGCTGGGACATCATCAGGGACCACTGGTGGCTGACCAGGGCTTGCACTCCTCTTCATGGTGGTATTAAAGGTTTGGATCTTCTCAGATAGTTCACCAAGGAAGTCATACATCTCCTTCATTGTCTGAGGCAGATCTTCATCATCATGATCCTTATCTTTGTCCTCGACAACTTCCTCAGCCACGTCTTCATCCTCTGAGGCTGGAGCAGTGATGATCTGAGAGTTCCCGCTTATGAAGGTAGCAGGGTCTACTGGAACTCCTCCTCCATCTGGTTCCAGTTCCTCTAGGTAGGCAGGGTTCCACACGATGACTGGAACACGGTTCATCTTCTTCTATCTCGTCCGGAAAGGTTCTCTCTGTATGCTGTCTGTGCACTGTATATAGCACAGGTCCCTGGACGGCTATGTGCAGGGATACTTGTGTCTACTCTGCAGCGGTCCGGGATGTACTGATCTCTCTGGCGTCCTGTTGGATTCAAGGGACTGTTCACTCATATACCGAACGATCCAGAATACAACACTCTGCAAAAGGACCCTCAGTATCAGCCTCAAACTTGTTAAAGAGGATGAGGTCTATCTCAAACTGTCTGTTTTGGATTCCTGCAACTTGGCAAAGAGGAAAATCTGATAGGAGCACCTGGAACTAGATTGGGTTTATTCTTTATCAAAAGAACGAGGTGAAGCACGTTCCAGAGCTGGAGGTATCAGAGGCAGAGGTTTCAAGGCCGGAGATTACAGGGCTGGAGGTCTTCCTTGAAAGGTTTCTGCACCGGATCTGGAGGTTTCAGAGTTGGAAGTTTTGGAGCTGGAGGTCTTCCTTGACTAGGTGGACAGGACTGGTTTCAGTTGGTCATTGATACTGAGTCGGACTTTGGGGGGGGGGGGGGATATTGGCAAGGACAGATTTGGGGACAGAAAACAAATCCAGCATGGGTTGGGACCAAGTCAAGGATTAAACTTTTCCCTTCAAAACTTCAGTTAGGGGAAAAAGAATACCTGCTGCACCTTGAATGAAAGGTATGTAGAAGTTGATAATTCTTAGAAAGTGTTGCAAACCCTTTTTCTCAGAGGGACGAGGGAAGGAGGAGATCACATCAGTGTGTTTAGACAATGGAACACATCCTTCTGTTAAAACTCTCATCCCAAGTGAAGGAGCTGCAAACTCACACTTATCTGGATTTATACTAAGACCATGGAGGCGGAGTCTGTTAAGAACCTGTCAAACATGCTAAAGATGAGACTGGATATCAGGGCTGGAGATGAGTATATCATATACAAAACAATGTAGGATATCTCCAATTATTTGGTCCGTGAAGCGTTATAAAGTACATCTTGTGTTTCGTAGTCCAAAAGGCATCCTTACCCACTCAAACAGACCTAAAGGTGTGATAACCGCCGTTTTAGGATTGTCTACAGGGGCCATGGGAGCCTGGTAAAATCCCTTAGTCAATTCCAGCTTGGTGAAAATCTTGCAACCGTTCAAATAGAGTCCACAAATTGTCTGCTTGTAGGGCCTGTCTTTGGGAATTGTTAATTGACTCAGTGAGCAAGTGAGACCTAACATCAGCTGGGAGTCAGCCCATAAACAAACCTCAAAAAAAAAATTCTGGTTTTTTGTCCTTGGGAACAACATGAGCATCCTATCCATCAGCTCTAAGGGCCACTGGTCAGAGAGGAGGAAGAGACCCTGAAGGGCCTGATAATGTTGGAAATCACTTACCCAGCAAACAAAAACTCGAGTTAAAATTGAGTAAAACTCAACTTTTGCTTTCCAGAAGTGGAGTTTTAATTTAGTTTAAAAGTGGAATTTTCACCTGCAAATGTCTGGATGAAAACTCTACTTTTTACCAAGTTGGGGGTTGTAAAAACCGATGTCAACTGGATGATATCTGGATGATTTCTGGATGATTTCTGGATGATTTCTGGATGATTTCTGGAGGATTTCTGGATGATTTCTGGATGATTTTTGGATGATTTCTGGATGATATTTGGATGATATTTGGGCAATATCTGGATGATGAGAAGCGGGTTTTTAATCGAATTTCAAAGTGGAGTTTTTTTCTGCAATAGTTGTGCCATCACCCACATATCACATGGATGCATGTGGGTGATATCTGGATGATATGTGGGTGACACAGAAACTGGGATTCAAAAAGTCGAGTTTAAGTCAAGTTTATGCACCCGGATTTCAACCAGTTGGTGACTTTGTAAAACTGGGTTCCAAAAGTCGAGTTTTAGTGGAGTTTATGCAGCCAGATTTCACCCAGCTGGTTACTGGAGTTAAAAAGTTGATTTAAAGTTGAGTTTAAGTGGAGTTTAGAAGTGGGTTTTCACCCTGACTTGGTAAAAACTGGGATTCAAAAAGTCAAGTTTAAGTCAAGTTTTTTTCACCCAGATCTCACCCAGCTTGTGACTTGGTAAAAACTGGGCTTCAAAAATTCAAGTTTAAGTTGAGTTTATGCACCCAGATTTCTCCCAGTTGGTAACTGCAGTTCAAAAGTGGGGTTAAAGTTGAGTTGAAGTGAAGTTTTGAAGTGAAGTTTTGTAATCCAAGTTTTCACCCTGACGTCAAGTTTAAGTCAAGTTTTTTCACCCAGATTTCATCCAGTTGATGACTGGAGTTCAAAAATGGAGTTAACCCAACAAACAAAACACAGGTTTTCAATGAGATTAGCATAATGGCTAACTGGTTGATAATTCATGTGATTAATTCACGGCCCCTCCTTGTGTTATACATTGAATTTTGTATTGTATTTCTCAACTACCCCTTTTTGGAATACCAATCTTTTATATATATTAAGAAAGGAGCACTCTTACAATTATGAACTCTTTAACATGATTAAACTTTATTTAGACTTGAAATATCACTTTGTGATAAGAATAGTTTAAAGTTTACTGTTCAAGATGTTTGATGTAAAAGAAACAAACCAAAATGTTTAGTTTCTAAACATTTTGTAATAATTATATACATTTACACAGTATATTTTATAATTTTATTTGTATATCAGAAATTAATTATATATCCCCCCTTTGGGAGAAAAATAATTTTCTCATATAAAAATCCCGTGTTCATCTCGTGAAATAAACTCAAGTTTTCGCCGTGTAAAAACTCGGTCCTAGACCTGTGATCAAATCGTCGACATTCACCTCGCCAACACGTGAATTATCAAGGGATATTGATGGGTCACTCATGTGAAATACACCAAAAAATCTTGTGTTCTTCATGGGTTTTTGTTTGTTGGGAATGTCAAGTTTAAGTGGAGGTTAGGGCAACTATTTATCATCTAGTTGTATCATCCAGTTGTGTTTCCTGGGTAAAGTGTACATTTGAATCAAACGGCGCCGTAGAGCCTCATGAGGATTGGCAGGGGGTGATCTGACTAAATCCAGGTATTGACCGGCAACATCTTGGGGCAGTGCAGCAACATAGTGAGTGAATTTAGTACAGGAGACAGTAATCTTCTTGTTCTCAAACTGAGCTTCTGCTTGTATGATTCAAACCTCAGGGGAATTGGTCCAAAAGGTTGGTTGCTTCACAGAGATAGTCCTCAAAGGGACTGGATCCGGGGCAGCAGGAGTCTCATTCATTTATACAGCTGAAAAAGGAAAAGGAACGGACTCAAATTGCCAGAAACCTTACTATGGTGTAGGTTCGAAAAACGCTGGGACCTGGTCAGAACCACTTTTGGGTACATCAGCGAGAGTAATTTTCCTTGACAAAATTTAAAATCATCAAAAATGTAGCGACTCTATATTTTGACAAGAGAAGAAACAGAACTGTATGTATATATTGATTTCTAAGTAAACCAAGATTAATTATTACAGAAAATATTTGGTTATAATAATAATAACGTTTATTGCTAAATATCTTTTAAATTTACAAAAATTAAAAATTTAAAAAAAAAATGTATATGTAAATGTACAATACTGTTACAAATAATATTTTCTTCTATTTAGTATAACAAAAGGATATAGCTAGCATAGCTGTTTGAATGCTATATCCTGAAATAATACACATGATGGTGTGAGACCATACAACTAGTAAGGAGAAACCCAGATCAGGAGTTGGGGGGGATCAGAGACCAGGGGTTAAAGAACAACACCCACCTTGTAAAAATAGAAGATTAGAAAGAGTAGAGCTAGGACCTATTTTTACATATTTTATGAATCAAATATATCTTTTTTTAAATGCTTCTTAAAAGTATTGAAAGTTTAGATTCTCTTAAGAGTAAGACTAAGGTTATTCCATGTTTTTGGAAGAGTATAGCTAGGAAAAGAATGCAACTTCTTTTTTAATGGTACATTTAGAATATACTGCTTAGAACGGTTTTCTTGACTGAAAGGAGTGAAAAAGTGTTCAAAGGAAGATGGAATATTCCCTCTATCATATTTATACATAAAACAAAGTGAATTAAATTTGACAAGATCAGGCACTTTCAAAATTTCTAATTTTTTAAAAATAGCTCCAGTATTAGCTTTAAAGGTTTTGCAAACAATATTTCTTATGCATTTTTTTTGTATCATAAAAATTGGTCTAAGTTTAGAGGAACTTACTCCCCCCCATACTTCCAGATGCAGTAACTAATTTGGGATTTAAATAAACTATTGTAAACATATAATTTTACTTTTTCTGGAACAATGCGTTTTATTTTTGAAATTGCAAAGTTTGTACAGGATAGTTTAGAACGAATAGCATTTATATGGTGGTCCCAAGACAAATGCTCATCTAAGTAAACACCAACAAACTTAAAATATTTTTCATCGCAATCTTTTCCTATTCAGTCTACTTTACCAGAATCTATACTAAGTTCTAGGTTGCTAAAATCAACTTTCATATCTTGGTTTCTGAATAAAATATATTTGGTTTTAGATACATTAAGAGTAAGTTTATTAGCTCTGAACCAATCAGATATCTTAACAAGCTCAGTGTTTGCAGTTGAATATAGAACCTCTAAACTATTTGAAGATAATTGCAGGGTTGTATCATCTGCAAACAGAATACTTAATATAATGCTGGAAGCATTTGGAAGATCATTGATTAGAATCAAGAAAAGTAAGGGTCCCAACACAGAACCCTGTGGAACTGTAAGAATGCCGTCAAGGGTCGACCTAACACCATTTATTACCCTAAACTGTTTTCTATTTTGATGTTTATATAACAGATTAAACTTATTCATGTATTTAATCATTTGGGAGGAAGCAATCATTTCTAATAATTTGCTAAAGGTTGATAATAAGGATATTGGTCGATAATTGTTAAAATTATGGGGGTCGCCTGATTTGAAGATTGGTATAACCTTAGCTGTTTTAAGTTCCACAGGGATAAAACCCGTTTTAAATGAAAGATTAAACACGTGACTCAGGGGTTTAGCTATATCTAATATTATTTCCTTTAAAAGCTTAGAAGATAAGCAATCTGGACCAGAACTAGACTTAGATTTTAAATCAGATGTAGACTTAATAATAATTTCCTCTGTTATATTTGCAAAAACAAAGTTTTCTCTGCACTCTTCATTTAAATAATCAGTGAAATGTTTGTTAGAGTCAGGGATATTATTAGATAAATCTGGCCCAACTTGAGTAAACAATTTATTAAACCCTTGAGCCACATCCATTTCTCCATCTATTCTACTTCCATTATGCATAAAATAATTCGGTATACATTGCCTATCCTTCTCCCTCCCTATAACTGAATTAATTGTGATCCATGTTTTTTTAATATCATTATTGTATGTTTTAAATCTATCCTTGTAATATGAAGACCTTGAACTACGAAGTACATGAGTGTACAATTTATTGTACTCTCTGTACTTTGACTCATTTTCAGGAGGTTCAGGAGGTTTGAATTTAAATCTTGATGACAAAAATGTTGGTCCTCTACAGTTTATCATTAAAAAAATTATCAAATTAATTTTTTAAAAGTTCCTAAACAGTGGCCATTTAAAAAATGTATGATCTTTCAAACCAAACCTGGACTGAAGGAAGTCTGTTGGAACGAGAATGAATTACAGTTTCCAAAATGAAGGCATTTCATTCCACACTCCATCCCATCTGTTGCTGTAAGAGTCCATGTTCTATACTAGAACATTTTTTTTGTTTTAATAAAAGAAAAATTAAAATGAGGTATTTGTGACCTCAATAAAATAGTTTAGTTTCCAAAGGGATGTCATAAAGTTCGGGTTTGACGCATAGTTTTTTTTTTATTTTTATGAAATGTAATTTAGTTTAATTTTTATAGAAGGGCACAATTTTGCACTAGAAAGTAAGTAGGATTTCACAGATTTTTATTTCAGTTAAATTTTAGATACTTTATAATTTGATCATATTTTAACTTTTCTATTTCTTCTTTCACAAAAAATTCTTCTCATAAACAGAGTTTACTATATTATCTTCAAGCTTTAACACTTTAACACAACAACTTTTTTAGAAAATTCGATATATAACTTTATTGTGGATATGAAAAAATAATAACAAACTTTATAAATTATTTTTATTAAGTAATAAATTTTACAAAAAAAGCTAAGGGGGCAAATGCATAAAATAGTCACAGGGTAAAAACTTAGTTTTAATTATTGAATCAAAAATTTAAACAAAATAACTTTTGGCAGCATAATAAATTAGTTGAATGAATAGGAATGGGTGTCGCTCCTGGGAAAGGATGGATCTTTCACAGGAGCAAACAGAACAGAACGAAATGATTTAAAAAAAGTAAAAACACACCTAGAACTAAGGATTTGTCATTGTTCCTGGAGAACAAAAGTTTTTTCAAACCAAACAGACTAAACAATTTAAGAAAGTAGGATTGGATAGTTCAGAGTCTAGATCCTTAACTCTGAACTATCCAAATATGTACTCATATGATGTAGGAAAACCTGCAGCCTTTACAATACCTGGATGAATGTGCTGTATGTCATATTCATAGTTGACTTAAACATGCCGCTCCTAAATAAATCACTGTTACACCAAGGGAAAGATATATGGGAAAGGGTTTATGTAAAATAATCCGAAAATTTTTCTGGTTTACGGAATGGATACCCTAAAATTTCCAGTTTCCATTTCTTAAACTGGAAATTTTTCTGGTTATTTCTGGACAAACAAACAGACGAGTAAAGTATAAAAATAGAGTGTGAACCAGAAAACGAAAAAAGAATAGGAGGACGACTTTTCGACTCGAGTTATGACTTTAAATAGTTTAATGAACATGATACACGGCAATTATGTAGTGGACTATATGTACTAAATACAGACCAATTTAATAGTGATTTTACAAGTTACTATTTAACCTATTTGCTTTGTAACAACATCAAATAGACTTCAGGATTGCTATATATGTCTTTTTCCTTTTCACATTTAAAGGAATTCACAGTAGTATTTCTTTAACTACAGCTAAACCAAGCGCACATTCTATTTTTATGTAGATAGTGTTACTTACTGGTTTTATCTTTTACATAAGTTTAAGACGTTTTTCCGGAACCTTTTTGTGGAAAATTCCGGAATTTTCCGGAACAATATTCCGGAACAACAAAATGGAAAAAATTTATGGATCATTTCCATGTGTAAACCGTAACCCGGAATTACAGTGGAAACCCTAATTCTGTCTAGGACGGTTTTTTAACATTGTTTTTGCAAACGTGATTCCAATAGTCCAAAAAAAAAGAAAAAAGTTCGGGAATTCCGAGTTTCCAGACTGTTTTTTGAAATGTAAGCTAAAATCACAGAACAGAGATAAGAAGAGTTTAAAAACAGATTTTTGGACCATAGTTGGCTAGAACTTCTTAAGTTTTTAATATTTTTATTACGCGCTTCTCAGATTTGAACTCATTACAAAATTTCCAAGAAAATGGTTTTTAACACAAAAGCTTTTTGGCCTTACGATGGTTTTTTCAAAATTAAATTGTTATTTCTTAACCCCAGTGGGTGGTTGGCTTAATTCCACTATTGATCACCCTTACTGGATACCTAGGGTTGTTAACGTTATCATTATTTTGAAAAGATAGTTTCGTTATGAAAATTATGACGGTGAAACACAAAACAATCGTTTTTATAAAGTTTGTCTTAACGATCCTTAACAACAACCCTTTGTTAACATTTATTAACAACAACCCTTTATTAACAATGGTTAACAACAATCCTTTGTTAAGGATCGTTAACAGTGACCCTTTGTTAATGATCCTTTACAAAGAATGGAGGAGAGAGGAAATCGTTTAATGATCTTTTCAAAAACAATTAACAACCCTAAGTATAACCTCTATCCTGCAGTATGGAAACAGTACAACAAATGACGGTTTAACACTTTTTTAATTCAATTCCACTCTATAGTTATCTAATCTCTTTGGCTAATATGTTGGTTGAAACCCTACTTGAAAGTGTAAACTTTAAGTGGAAGAAGCAAGCAAAGAATGAACCACATCCCAGTCATGGTGAAGCTTGAATGAAAAACTTGAAGTTAATCATTTATTATTCATGAAAGCTGGAATCAATTTTATTTACACAGAGCTGAAAACTTTAAAATGGAATATCCTTAGTCCTCAGCGGTTACTTAATATGGAGATTAATAACAAAAGGAGAACAAGCATTATTTAATAAATTAATTATAATAATATCATTTATCTCGATATCCACAATTCAAAAGTTCCTAGCTCAGTTCTATCTACATATCACTAAACTTCAACAAACAAAAAAGAAAGGCCAACTCGTAATAAAATTATAATTAATATTTATAACATGGTATATTTACTGACTATTCAACATATAAAAGCTCTCAGCTAGAATATCCACCAGAAATTATGTTTATTTCCGCCGGAAATTTTGTTTCTTAAAGTTTAATAAAGGCTGCCGGAAACATGGTTTCCGACAAAATTTCTGGCAGTAATAATTTTTTCGACAAAAACTTTTCGATATAGAGTAAACAATTGTTATCAATAATATGTAGCGTCACTATGGTTAACAATTTAATTCATTTCATCAACAATATATTCTTTCTTTGGAATTCAGGTCTGCACTCTAGAATGGCTAAAACATAAAGTTCTACAATTTGATTAAATATATATAGATCAGGCAGTACATAATGATTTTAAAACATTTCCAAAAACAAATTGAAAAAAATTTGAAAATAACAATTGTTAACCTTTTTCATGTACTAAATCTGCTAAACAATAAATTTAAATTTAAATTTCCCCCGGCAACCAGAATTTCCGCCGGAATTTTCCACCTGTAATGTTTTCTGTAATTTAAATTGAGGGACTGTACTTGGTCAAGAAACCTTCATATCCAATCGAAAATGTGGAAGATTTTATCTATTTTCTAGAAAACTGTATATTTCTGATATTTTCAGTATGTTTTCCTCAGGCGCGCATCTAGGGGGGGGGGCCAAAACTAGATTTTTAACTTTTCACACATTATAGTTTATTAAGACAGATATTTTTCCTGTTTTGCACTAGGGTTTCTTTCCGAATTAAGCATGCTATTGAGAAGCTATTCTGAAATAAGAACAAAAAATTCCAAATTCAGGGGGGGCGAATGTCCCCCGCCCCCCCCCTGTATCCGCCCCTGACCAGAATAGATTTCTTGTTTCATTTTATATCAGACATTTAACTGAATATCCGGTTGGTAAGGTTAGTTTTTTATTGTTTAAGTATAACACACATTTTTCTTGCCCCCCCTAAAAATGTTTAGGGGGGGGCCAAACAAATTTTTCCCCCTTGCCCCCCTCTAACCAAATGTCTAGTTGCGCGCCTGGTTTTCCTGCAGTAGAAATGTTTAAACCATTGTCGTAGATTATATAATCAGACAAAGCTGTTCAGGGGTACCGTTGTGAATTGTATATACCACCTAATCCATGGGGTCAATTGCAACTACGTTTACAATTGGTTCAATTGGTTCAGCCGTTTTTGCGTTTATTGGGTACAAACAAAGAAACAGACAAACAAAGTATATATTCATTGGTAGGTTCTACATCAAAAATCTACCGTGCCAATTTTACTTCATATTTTCCCCTGAAAGGGCTTATACTGGAAAAAATATTTTAACATGTGCTGGGACTGAAAGTATGCAAATATTAATTATATTTTAGTACATAAAGGCAAATAGAATTGAACTAAAACTTATATTTTATAAGTCTTGTGAAATGAAAATTATATATTGGATACTTTAGTTTGTAAAGGCAAATATACTTTTTACACAGCTTTGCTTTAATTTGCAAAGAACTAAGTAAACTTTGAAAATCAATGAAAAATCCAAATATTTCAATATCCTGACTGGGATATTTTTGTCTAATAAAGGCAAGGGGGGGGGGGCTGTATATTCCAACCCTCCTCCCATTAGAGGCTCAGTTTGTGAGCAATGTCATTTGTAATTTTACAACCTATTTGTAAGTAAATTGTAAATTGCATATAATTCCTTGTAAATGTAAATGTTTATGGATAAATTGTACTAGTAAATGAAGGATTTGTAAATTGTAAATTGTAAATGCCTAAGCATATAATGGCAATAATTTATTATTGACTAATATAATTTGTAAATTGTAATTTGTAAATGCTCAAGTGTATAATTTCACTATTTTGTAATATGTAAATTGTGAATTGTAAATTGTAAATTGTAAATTGTAATTTGTAAATTGTAAATTGTAAATTGTAAAATGTAAATTGTAAATTCAAATTGTAAATTGTAAATTGTAAATTGTAAATTGTAAATTATAATTTGTAAATTTTGAATTGTAAATTGTAAATTATGATTGCTTTTGATCCATTACAGTATTATCTGTGAGAATATTGAGTAGATAAAGATGTATCTTCTAATTCATCAAAGTATTATCTGTGAGAATATTGAGTAGATAAAGATGTATCTTCTAATTCATCAAAGTATTATCTGTGAGAATATTGAGTAGATAAAGATGTATCTTCTGATTCATCACAGCATTATCTGTAAGAATATTGAGTAGATAAAGATGTATCTTCTGATTCATCACAGTATTATCTGTGAGAATATTGAGTAGATAAAGATGTATCTTCTGATTCATCACAGTATTATCTGTGAGAATATTGAGCTGATAAAGATGTATCTTCTGATCCATCACAGCATTATGTGTGAGAATATTGAGTAGATAAAGAAGTATCTTCTGATTCATCACAGTATTATCTGTGAGAATATTGAGCTGATAAAGATGTATCTTCTAATTTATCACAGCATTATCTGTTAGAATATTGAGTAGATAAAGATGTATCTTCTGATTCATACCATTATTATCTGTAAGAATATTGAGTAGAAAAAGATGTATCTTCTGATTCATCACAGTATTATCTGTGAGAATATTGAGCTGATAAAGATGTATCTTCTAATTCATCACAGTATTATCTGTGAGAATATTGAGTAGATAAAGATGTATCTTCTGATTCATCACAGCATTATCTGTAAGAATATTGAGTAGATAAAGATGTATCTTCTGATTCATCACAGTATTATCTGTGAGAATATTTAGTAGATAAAGATGTATCTTCTGATTCATCACAGTATTATCTGTGAGAATATTGAGTAGATAAAGATGTATCTTCTAATTCATCACAGCATTATATGTGAGAATATTGAGTAGATAAAGATGTATCTTCTGATTCATACCATTATTATCTGTAAGAATATTGAGTAGAAAAAGATGTATCTTCTGATTCATCACAGTATTATCTGTGAGAATATTGAGCTGATAAAGATGTATCTTCTAATTCATCACAGTATTATCTGTGAGAATATTGAGTAGATAAAGATGTATCTTCTGATTCATCACAGTATTATCTGTAAGAATATTGAGTAGATAAAGATGTATCTTCTAATTTATCACAGCATTATCTGTGAGAATATTGAGCTGATAAAGATGTATCTTCTAATTCATCACAGCATTATCTGTGAGAATATTGAGTAGATAAAGATGTATCTTCTGATTCATCACAGTATTATCTGTGAGAATATTTAGTAGATAAAGATGTATCTTCTGATTCATCACAGTATTATCTGTGAGAATATTGAGTAGATAAAGATGTATCTTCTAATTCATCACAGCATTATATGTGAGAATATTGAGTAGATAAAGATGTATCTTCTGATTCATCACAGCATTATCTGTGAGAATATTGAGCTTATAAAGATGTATCTTCTGATTCATCACAGTATTATTTGTGAGAATATTGAGTAGATAAAGATGTATCTTCTGATTCATCACAGTATTATCTGTAAGAATATTGAGTAGATAAAGATGTATCTTCTAATTTATCACAGCATTATCTGTGAGAATATTGAGCTGATAAAGATGTATCTTCTAATTTATCACAGCATTATCTGTGAGAATATTGAGTAGATAAAGATGTATCTTCTGATTCATCACATCATTATTTGTGAGAATATTGAGTAAATAAAGATGTATCTTCTGATTCATCACAGTATTATCTGTGAGAATATTGAGTAGATAAAGACGTATCTTCTGATTCAGCACAGCATTGTATCTGTGAGAATATTGAGTAGATAAAGATGTATCTTCTGATTCATCACATCATTATTTGTGAGAATATTGAGTAAATAAAGATGTATCTTCTGATTCATCACAGTATTATCTGTGAGAATATTGAGTAGATAAAGACGTATCTTCTGATTCAGCACAGCATTGTGAGAATATTGACAATAAAAGTAAAACTTTTAGAGAGCTGAATCTTTGCACTTGAAAACGCATAAGCGCATAGAAAAAAGGTGTGGTCCTGATTTTTTATCATGTGTCATTTTGATGCACATTTTGACAAATAAAAGAAAAGTTTTGAGAGAGATGAATCTTTGCACTTGAAAACGCATGTTTTATGATATTGTTTAATTTTAAATTTTGCGCGGTTTATTTTTTTTATAATTATCAGAGAAGATTTTTCCACAAGACTGTATACCTGTATACTCTCTGTAAACTTGTATACCCTCTGTAAACTTGTATACCCTCTGTAAACTTGTATACCCTCTGTAAACCTTTGTACTCTATAGGTTTACAGGTCAATACCCCCAATTATAGTAGTGTCATTTTTCAAGTTCCAGCCTAGCACTATACTCTACAATCAGGTGTTTACATCTATATATTCAG